CTGTCACGGCAGCTACTGCACAGCTACCCCCATGTCGGTACCCGTTTGCTCGCTCCAGGGGCACACCACACCACCCCACCATCGTATTGGTGCGCGTGGGAGAAAGGATATGGGATAGAGTGTGTGTGGGCTTAGGTTTATAAGCTACATCGACGAATGGAGGACGGATTGGAGATGGTTTCACTAACCTAACTGGAGAGTCTGCGCTGGCGAAGAGTTTCCAGGGACCATGAACGTGGTGACTTGATGTTGGTGCGAGAAATATTCCGACGACCCGAAGAATCTAGAACGACCAGCTGGTGGAACCACAGGTTGGTTGCCCCCTGGTCCTTCCGCCTTATAGCATTCGGAGAAACTCAGCTTCTCTGAATGGTTGTCCAAATGTTGTACCTTCACAACATCTAACAAACGAGCAAATCAGCAAAACAAAACCCCCTTTCAATAGATCATGTGGTGTGCCCGTCTTACTTGAGCCACAGACCAGAAAAAAACACGAGAAAAAGAGCAGGCGGCCCAGCCAGCGGAGCATAGCGTAGTTAGGCGTACTTTTTCAGGGGCTTCCGTCAACAAAACACTTCTTCCTTCCCGTCAATGGTTCGCCGGCGGCGCTGGGCCGAACCCCCCCGCGGTCTTCGTGTACCCGTTTTAACCGGACCGTCAACCTCCTTTCAGCAGCCCGCGGCCGGTACAGCTGCTGGCTGCGGATTTGCATATGTGGCCAGCGATTCTGACGGGGTGTGACTCTGGATGCCTGGGATTGTGTGAGTTCCACCCTGCATCGTTTATGGGGAAATTTAACCCACTAATATACCAACCCTCTAGATGTCCAACGGTGTTTCGTCATGCACGGGATTTTGGGGCCGGGTATCGGTCACAAGGGAAGGAACGCACGCATTGACTGGGGCTATTCCATCTGCCCACATCTGTTGAACATCAGCGCTCATCCAGAGCCCCGAGACCAAGGTGGTGATCATTTGGTGCTGCCCGTAAATTACCGGCTGAGTTTTGGATATACCTGCGGTAGGCAAGTGTGATCATCCGTATTTCCGACTCCTTAACGTGGCTCAACTCCTGACTTGTGTGCCGACAAGTTTGACAACAGCCGTACTCAACGTGATGATGTGTTGTTGTATTTGGTGCCTCACTCATCAGAAAAGCAGCAGAAGTCGACGAAGGCAATAGGAGACCTAGCATTGGTTAACTTGTGGTCGATGTAAACATGGCCCCGCGGACGATCGTGATACGGGGCCAAGGTGAGAACTGAGACATACCAAGACCTTTCGCCGGTAACGTACACATCCGGCCTAGGTACTACTTCTCATACGATGATATCTGGACCGATTTGCTGAGAGATCACTGACAAAGACGGGACATAGAGGCGGCGCCCACTCTCATGAGCGAACTGAAATTGAGAAGTTGGAATTAATATCGGTTTTCCGTAAAGTCAAATATAGAAGCATGTGTTTTTCCTCGGGGGTAAAAAAACAAAAAAGAAACAAAACGGGGGGCAAACGTTCATTGTTGACCCTACTGGTGTAAAAGGTACAATACCGGTGCGGGTCAGGTTCCTGAAAGGCGTTAACTACGTACCGGTACCGTTACCGTGCAACAGCGCCGTTGCAAAATGCTCCAACATCTTCGTCTCTTCAAATTTTTAGATTCTCAAGACATAAATTCCTATTACTTAGCACTGGATTCGGGTAAAACCGTTCTTCGAAAAGGTCTTATTAAGCGCGCTTCAAACGGCGTTTTTTCCATTCGCTAGCAGCAAGCCCCGAAGTCGTGGTACCGCCAGCTCCCGCAAACCCCACTCGAGAAACACCAAACTTGTCTGACCCGACGATGGATGGCACACTTCCATTCAACCCGTTCCATTGCGACCCAGGGAAGCTCAACTACCGTCCTGCGTGCGGGTAACACTCCGGGTACACGGCACGCAGCATACGCTGGGGATCTCAAGGTTTGAAACCGGGTCTGCGGTTCTGCGTGGTTGTCGATCGTTTCCTAACTTTCTCCTCGCTAGGTTTTCGTTGTCCTCCCTGAACTTCCCATACCGAACGTCCACGATACTGGCTTGGACCGGCTGTTCGGTAAACAAGCGAGAATTCTTATTTTGATATCCTGGCTGGTTTCGCCCATATTACTACGACGGTGCCGTTGGAAACCCCACACCTCGCAACAATGCTGGGGACACTTTACCCGGCCGCGTGGAGATCCTACATGAGACCATCGCGGCACGAGCATACACACAATCTATTTCACAGTCGCTCGACGATTGCCTTCTGCCGTGTCCCCGGCTCTAGCTCTCCCTGCAACCTTGAGCTATTGCCAAGCCGCCCTGATGCTGTATCTAGAAGGGCTACACTCGTTTCTTTTGCCCCCAGAATTCCGGGCTGAAGGGTTCCCGAGCGGGCCCTTGTCTTTGTGAGACACTGTATTCCCATCGTACCTGTCGTAGGCGACAGAAACACTTGGTGGTCACAACAGGACTTGAACTTTCCGCTATATTCCGATACGAGAAGCCGACAGACCGGCGCCAGCTCTACCACCACCCTTGGCATGGTTCGACAAAACGACACATCCCGCCCACCCGCTCGCCTTTTGTTGTGTGACGGACAAACACGGCTCGCTCTGTCAGGAAAAGTCGAATTCCCCCACTTTCATCCGAATGTACTCCCGCTACTCTCTCGAATCTTCTGGCACTTTTCTAATCGCTCGATAAAAGAGACACTCTAAGGCTCGCTTCTTGAGGCCAGCCTGGAATAGCACCTAGTGTCCGATAGCTCTTGATGAGTTTGGGGGGGCCTGGTATCATGGAAGACCGGGAAGAGGCGTTCACGGGAGGATGCATTGTACTCTCGATCGTCCGATACCACCAGACAAGCCTGAATCAAAGTGTACTTGACGTGCGAAGGGACCCCGATCGAACACTCTCGGTGCCACAATCGTTGTGTAAACCAGGGTCACCATTGAGGCCACATGATTTGTGAGCAATTCTTGCGATCCCGTATCACCCCTGTTATCTTGTATCAGCTCGTTGGCACTCTAGCCTACTCTAACTACTCTACTCTCACAGGCCGCTACGGCCGCCATCTTTGGTGCTGGGAGAGACATCCAATACCAGCTTCATTAAGCGAACCTCTAGATTGTCATCAAGACCTTCTACACGCGGCCTCGAATAAGCAACTATTTTACCAGCGAGGATCTGACCCGGAAACCCCAATTGGGCCTAGACCCGCACGGCAGGCATGCCCATCCAACCCGCTTCAATCTATTTTAAAAAACCAATAAATATGTCGTCGACAAGGGACGATATGACCCCCATATCCACATACATTCACATCCTTGCCCGTCCATGTGCACAAAACACCTCTCGACCGGGTTTTAGGGGGCTGAGATAACACACTCCATTGTATCGTCCCGCCTTTCCCCGCCCCCCATCCTTCGGAACAGCATCAAAACAGGCCGAGCTGGAGACATACACACATGCAGCATGCATTTTCGCAACAACAGCGTAACACAAGCACAGAGACAGAGAGACATGGCAGGGTGGTGTTGGGCAAAACTTCCGATGAACCACGGCCCCCATCCCGGTTCTGTATTTGTTCTCGCCTCTGGTTTGGTGCCCCTACCCCCCCACGCGCATCAATTTGTGGTTGTTTTTGCCTTGAGTTTGACGTCTTCGCTTGCACTCTCCATTGGTAGGTATCCGTGTGCGTTCAGTCCTGACCATAGAGTGATTGGCATGGGGAACCCAAGCCGCCCGAGCAGGGCCAGACATCGTTGTACATGATACCCCTACGGGAACCCTGATATTGTTACGTTTACGCCCCCCCGCTTTCCTCAAACCGGTGGGGTATCATTGGCGCGCGCCTGCGTGTGTGTGTGTGTTTGTTGTTGATTGTGGGTGTTTAGGGTGGGGCAATGCCACCCGCACAAGAACACAAGAACAAGGCTGGGACGCCAAGCCGGTCGGTCGGTTGGTGATGGAGGCTTAATTGGAGTGGGTGAGCTCATCCAGGAGACTTGCCTAGCCCTAGCGGCCCGGCCTGCCCTCCTACCCTCCTCTCAATGGTGGGCCAGTCAACTTTGTTGGTCTCTCTGTCTTCTCACAGTCACAATTCCCCCTCTCCATCTCGAGGTTGTTGCCTTGGAATATGCAGGTGAACGGCAGGTCTTGGGACTAACAGGATTAACAGGATTAACTTAGGATGGCCTCGCTTCTTCCTTTGGGAGCCGAAAAAGGTCTGGAGAATCTCCTTTCATGATGTCTTTTCATCCGTCATGGGCTGTTGGGGGGTTCAGGGATCCCAATCTATAATCAGGCATATCATCCTTCAACATAGTGCTCTTAGCAGACGTCAATGCAATACATTATTTTGCCCAAAATGTTATAAAAATGGTGTATCAAGAAGGGAGAAATTAAATTGTTTCTTCAACAATCCTTTCATCCTACGGCCAAGACTACCCAAAATCTGTACCTCAACATAATAAAACATAAGAGCTCGTGTAAGTTTAACAGCCTATTCACCCGGTAATTGTTCCCCAAACCGTTGCAATCTGGTATGGCGAGTTACAAGAACATTCATGAACCAGGGATACAGGTGAGCTTCCAATGTATAGATCACCCTTAGTTGGGCTGAGTAAATTAATTTCACTTGTTAAAATATTCAAGAAATGACGCGCCATTAGCTATGTGTGACCCGCAACCGTTCCCCGTGATGCCTTGTATGTCTTCAGAAGATGCCTTCACTTATCCTCCAATTGAACCTCCCATCCGCCCACTGATTGATCCAACCATCCATCGGTATGCGAGAGGAAACGACGATGCAAAGAAAGAAAGTACCCAGCCGGCCCAGACCACACCAGTCGGTGCATCCTCGTTGAGTAATTAATCCACGGTCAAGAAAAGGACACGCTTTGGTCGTAAAATCATTGTGCCAACCTCAAATCCCAACCCTCCTCTGTCCGTATTAACCTAGACACAGCCCCAAGGATCCCTAATGCCCCGGATCCTCTGGCGACACGCCAATCACTAGATCGGGGTTCCACGCTTCGCCAAGTGTCATGAGCTTCCTCTTAATCCCGTCGCCCATGCGCGAGCTATAACACCCCTCGATGCTTTTGACCGCATACGTGAGGATGTCCCCCGGTTTCTCGAGTCCCACCGGTGTGCCAGATGGGTGCATCAATATTGGCACGCCATTGCGGTTCCAGAGAAAGTTCATCAAGGCCGGATCTTCAGGTGTGAGTTGATCAATGACGACCGGAACTGGGTCTTGTTGCATCTGCTGCTGTGTGTCGAGGTTGCCACTGCTGTGCCGCTTGTCGCTTCCGACTCCCGACGACGTCGAAGAGGTATCATGTTTCGACACGCTGTCCGCCCACAAGACCAGCGTGGCACGATACATGGCTACCGGCCACCAAACCGGCCGGCGGTCCTTGGGCATCAGGCGCAAGAGCCGAAAAGTTTGGCCGCTGTGCATGATGGCCTTTTGTCGCTGAAAAATACACCTTGTATGTCGCATGGAGAGTTCCCAATCCATCTCGACGGAATCCTCCCGCCGAGCCAAACGCTCAATTTCCGGAAAGTCTGTTACGGCGTTGAGAGAGATCAAGTGGTAGAGAACGAGGCTGCACCTAGTCACTGGACAGTCTGGGTCCGTCTTGACATGGTCGGTAGCAATGTCATACCATCGTTGTAGAAGACCCTCCACCTCTTCAAGGCGATGCATCATTGAGGCGCGGGTAACGGAAATCCCATTTATATGGGGTGTGTCGAATACGGTCGTAAAGCAGGATAGGATTTGGCGGAGGTGGCAGATCATTGCTTGGAGAGGATGTAGAAGGAGCCTCAGCTGCTGGGGTGATAGGCCGGGGTGTCGGTTCGACAGGTTATCCTGAAGGAAGTCTTGGAAAAGCTCGTGTAGCGAAGGAGCTGTCATCCGTGTGTCCAGAAGCTGTGGGTTGACATTGGAAGTGTGACCATAGAGGGATTGCATGGCGGTGTACCATTGCCCCGAATTGGTGGACATCCACAACAATTCGGGAGCTGGGAGGGGGCACCGGAGGTCTGTAATGGCAAACGACGGCGCGACATCGTGGAAAAGGCTCAGTTCTTGATCGAGCATGACGTAGTTATAGACCAGTCTGAGTGGGGTTGTAAGCAACCAAGCTGACAGGAACATCGAAGTGTGCTTACCGGTTCCTCGTTTCACGGTCCACCCAAGCCCGCCACTGAAGCTCAGTGTTGGCCGCACTATCAAAATTGGGGATTGTCGGCAGCTGTGGTTCTAGCATTCCCGCATGCTTGAGCATCTAAAAGCGAGTCAATATGGACGTAGGCACGATGAACCGGAATGGCCATGTTACTCACCGACATGTACATGCCCCGCTGACCCATTGCAATGTCCATGAGCCATTTATCACCGCTCCAAGCCCCCAGAACAAGAAATAGGAGTGCGCAGCGGAGGGTCGTAGGATCTGCAGAAAGCTCAACATCCTTCTCGACAATGTCAAAGAGGGAGATGCGGCATGTTTCCGTCAGCCCCGCCGAGAGTTGACGTGCTTCTAGGATTGGCATTGCCGCAGCTCCCTGGGCAATCATGAGCAGGACAAGTAGCGTAGAAGCCTGGTTATTCTGCAGCATCTCGTTCGGGTCCACGCAGCCAGCAACTACCAAGGGGTAATAGACCGATAAACTTCGAACGTAACTGCGGAGAAAGTGCTCGAGAATCTCCGTAGGTGGCAAGACGATAAAGTTGCATGCGCTGGGGCTCATGTAGCCCGCTTTCGGATAGCCGCTGATCCCTGAGCGGTGGATATCCAGTGCTTTGTGCAGAAAGCTTTGGGTAATGGCGAGGATCTTGTCTCTTGTACGGGAAGTAAGAGGTACAACCGAGCCCAAGTCCGTTGTATCCCATCCGAGCTGTTCCATGTATTGCTCCAGAGCGCTCCAGGTGCCTTCTTGTTTTGACTTTTGCTCTAAGCATTCCAAATGGACAATAGCCGTTCGCGGGCAACTACCAACAGGAGGGGTTGGATTGCATCGGGCCAGATTCCAACCAGCCTCAGCGGCAATAATGACCTCAAAGTCCGGGACTGAGTCGGCCGCAGTCATGATATTTCCAAACTCCGATGGCTTGATAATAGGTTCGTATTCGGCGGAGATGATGCTCGTTCCTGGGGTGGTCCTCAAGGAGGGAATGACCAGGTCCGAGGGGGATGGGGTGTTGCTGAGGTTCCCAAAACCATGAGTCAAGGTATCCTGCCGCCCAAGCTGCGGGCCGTTCTGGTAATCATCAAGGTCCATATGGTAATCGGACCACGAAAGGTAGTCTTGGTACGTCGTCGTGTCTGGAGCCACGTACTCATTCCCGAGAGGGGCAAAATCGTCCAGGCCACCGTCAATCCTAAGATGGGGGGGTGAAAATCCATCAAAATGCAAGTGCGGATGATGAGGCGATATCTCTTGCGGCGATCCATGGCCCTGAGCCCCTGGTATTATGATCTCCAGGGCAGTCGGTGAACCAATACCGTCCATCTTGACACCTCCACGGCCAGATCCATGGAGGCCGGAGGTCGCCGCCCTGGATGATGGCGATTGTTGAGTCGAGCCACTCAGGGTGTTTTGTAAAGCAGCATTTGCCTGTGCTGCACGAATGGCCGCTTTTGACGACCTGCGAGCAAAGCGAGCCTCGCATGGTAAATTCTTCTCGGCACAGCGGGTGCATGGAACCTTCTTATCACAGCCAGTCTTTGCACTGGCGCAGTTCTGGCACGCAATGGGAGTGCGCCCGGCGGCCGGTGGGAGCCCTCCTAACGATGGGTTCATGGGATCTTTTGTCTCGTGGTATGTGGAATAGTGTCTTTGTAAAAGGTCTCTGTGAAACAGATGGAGTCAGATATACTGTCTATTCTGAAGTGACTGCTTGTGAAAAGGGGACAAAATAAGCACTTGCCGTCTGGAAAAGCTTAGGCTGCAATCACAGCAGACGTGTGGCTTAACGTTGGTGTCTGTTGTGCCCAGAATGTAAGAATCTATCTGGACTTTCTCTACATATCTCCCCAGATGCTTCCTTACGGGTTGGTAGATGTCTTTCGAGGTGTTCTTTTCGTGAGAAGCCTTTGCCACAATACGTGCAGTAGACTCGCTCAGGGGGTTTCTGCGCAGAAGGGTCAGAGGCCGGCGGTTTTGAGGTGGGCATCTCGGTCATTCTAGAAACAATCCGAGGGCGAAATTAACAAAGATGGGTGGTGTCTAGATGTTCCCAGCGATATAAGAACAGTCTTGTGGTGCGCTGTCCTCCAGCCGAGGTTGACAATGGTCTTTTGTAGCGACGGCCAAAAGGATACGTGTGAAATGACAGAGTGGGAAGACCAGTTTATAAAAGGATCCCAATGGGGAGGGTGGGAGGTAATGTAGAAGAGAATCAAGGTGGTGAAGAGCGAGGAACCCAAGGGTATGAGAGCAGTATGTACCAACCCTGGCATCGGAAGGATAGGACTTTGTTCCGAAACGGAGGACCAGATAAACGTCACCGAGCGTGGATTTATTTCCAGTCAATATCGGAAAGGATTAATACCTAAAAGAGCAGCACCCGCAAGAGAACCAGAGCCTCCAGGTCTTCAGCCCGAGGCAGCACCACGGCAAGCTGAGCCTTTCACAGCTCGGGTCACTCAACAGGGGTATGACAGGGGCCGTGGGGGGGTCAGGGTGTCAGGGGGATGGACGTGCGTCTCTACGGAGGGAAATGGTCAGCGGTTTGTACGAAGATGCTGGGTTGCTAGTGTGGCTGTTGTTGAGGTGGTACGTACCCGCAATGTAAGACATTGTAGAAAGCAAATCTACCCAACCAGAGTGTCGGCCATGTTCAGCCGCCGCCCCAGAAAGGAGAAATGGTCGGATACCCTTCTTTGGATGTACTCGTCTTGGCTCGATAACAGGGCTTGGACGAGTAATGCTCGGGTAGGAACATGATTGGGACACGACCAAACTGGGAGTGAATCTTTCAAACCTATCGTTCCGAGGGGAATACAACGGAACACTCGGGGATCGGAAAGGAGAGTTCAAATGACGAGAAAAGAAAAAAACAAGCCGGCAAAAACCCAATAGAAATACAGCCGATAAAACTGGGTCTCGAACTTTGGTTTAAAGGGTGTCTTGGACAATGAAGACTTTTGAACTCACAAAAGGCGGCTTATAAAAACTGGTAATCCTCGCGGTAATAAAAATGGGTTTCTGTGAAATGTCTGGCGTAGATGAAATGAGAAGGCTCAGAGAAGCTTTCGCCAACGGCCTGCGACGTATACGCTTCCACCGGGCAGCCGGGTGTACCCGCGCCTTCACAGGGCAGACCAGATTGGGGGAAAACAAAAAGTTTTAATCGCACTCTTCAGGAACCTTTGCAGTCAACTCCTTTCCAATCGGGGTTTGGGTCTCGGTAAAAATGGGAAGGAACCGTCAAGAAGAACAAAAGGGCCAAAATCGAAAGAGCGGGAATACTCAAGGCTCAGTGTAGAAGGAACAGCCGGGCTACCAAGAGAATGACAACTTTCACAAGCCCGAAAGCATATACTGATGTCTGCGCCGGCACCACAGTACGTGTAACAAGAGCAAGCTAAGTTTACCGGATTGCTCCAAATATTCGACACATGAATAAGACGTGACATTAGCGGGGTACGGCCCAGTACCTTACCCCAGAGGGACGAAGTAGCTGGCAGCTGGCCCTATGGCTTATAGAGTTGGCGCGAGCCTGCAAACGAAAGAAACTCGAGTCAGGAATTCAACTTCCAGGTTGAGGAACGCTATGCTGGCCGCCTTATCCGAAGACAAGCCAAAGCCCTCGATTTCAGCGGTAACCAGACAACGTTCAGACGTGGTGGTACGGGCCTTATCCATGTAAGTACCGAGGCCGGGTAGGCATGCTCCAAGGCACGCATGGTCGTGGTGTTCTGTCAACATCGACACCACCACCGCCAGTAACAAACAAGAATAGGAGCAAAAAAAGTGGGAGGGTATCGCAGGAGGGGGACGAACAAGCGGGTAAGTTGATACGATCACCCCCCTGCTACCCCGGCCCGCAGCGTTTGGGTGGGGAGGTGGGGCGTGGCGGCAGGTGCTCCCCGAGCTAACCCCTGCTCTGCTTCCTGTCCACTTTTGACTTCAATTCCACTCCCGCCCGTCCCGGGATCTCGTCACTAATTTGTCCTGGACCTTTCTTCCAATTATTCTTAGGCGACAACGAAGCGTAAGTTTGGTAAGGTGCCTTACATTGGTTCCCGGTTACCATGGAATTTATGATTGGGAGCGGGACAGCCCTTGTTTACCCCGCGCGTCAACGACAAATCTGGGGGATCAAGTTAGGCGGACACTCAGCCTGGAAATTTACCTGACGGACATCTGAGGCCCTGAGGCTGCAACCTTTTCGTCTCCCAACCATTGGATTTGTGAGAAAGCAAAACCTGACACGATAATTATCAGGATGTGTCATTTTACTAAGGTTGGTCAAATTAAGATGGCGAGCATGGACAAAGAAGTGGTCGGGGAACGACAGATACAGGCGGATCACTTCCCCAGATTGATATGGCTGGCAGGGAATTTTCGGGCAGGCCATTTCAGCCATAAGTGATTGGAGCACTGCAATCAGAATCCGCGCCTCGACCCCATTCCGCTATCGTTAGCTTCTTGAAGTTGAGTGTCAAACTCACATTGAGACTAGAACCCACCAGGCTGGATAATTCTGCTTGCTTTTGGAGCGCCAGACAACACCGGTGGGCGGCATCCACTCATCTCTGAACCCGCGTTCGCGGGATGTAATTCTAGACTAACCTTGATCCGGGAATCTGGGAATGAAAATGGCACGCCGCCCGCCTCTGCCGCGGTCGCGGCCGCTTCAATGAAAGTTCGGCTGGTACTTCGCCGACATGATGCGATACGGCTAAATAAGAAGAGGTATACTGCCTGCCGCAGTAAACAAGCCCTGTTGGGAAGAAAGATCTGGGCTGTCTAGATGCCCCAGACCGCGATGAAGCGACGCAATGGCACCGCGCAGGATCGTTCATGTAGCCACCCATCGTCTGTGGGTGCGAGCATTTACTGCCGTGGCGCCGAAGGCGTCGCAACACAATGGGGTCGTCTTCCATTGCACTTATGACCGGCTCCGCTGGCCAGGGTTTGGCGTATGAAGATGGCAAGCAACGTTTCCTTGAACATAAATCTGCTTTTGTTCGCATTTATGCCACCTAGTCGGCCATGGAATATGGAAGGTCGAAGGATCTAGCGATGTAGTGGTCATCCCGAGAACCAGATTCGCAATATCGCCCCTCGGTCTCGCTTCCTGGAGCACGGAGAGGCGAAATACCTTGGGTGATACTTCGACATCCGGATATAAAGGCCCGTAATAACAAACGGGTTGTAATCTAGCTAAAAATAAGACTCATCGCTCGCTTCATCAGCGCTGACTACTCACTTCCTACCCACGCGTTCGACGTTCGTGTGCAAGAGGCATTTGGCTGTGGATAGATAGGCTGAATGGGGCCGTACATATCCCCTTAGGGACATGCATACATTTGCCCAAAGTTTCCCGACTCCTTCCCATTCATGGGACCCGCGCTACACTTTATCAGTCTGGAAATGCTTACCCTGTCGTCACAAGGGTGTCAAACGTGATCTAGATTTTAGACCTATTCGCATCACTATCCATCGATGCTAGAGATAGTTGCTAAGAAAATCAGAGCGACAGTATCCGAACATCTAAGACATAAAAACTGACGGTTCAGACTTTGAGTTGTGCCACTGTGATGGTCACAGTATCCTTAACGTTGTTACTGTGATAATTTAAGCTCGAAACGGTCTAGTTCTCTCAGCGCTTCAACGGTGAATATCTCAAGGTGGCATGATTTCTTCACCTTCTTTTGTTGTACTGCTGCGAATGAACGTGCCGCAATGCAGGACCTGCTCAAACTGCCACTGACGATACGTCCTCATACCGCACCCTGGGACAGTAAGCTTGAAGCCCCCATGGGCTGGCGTTGATCTACCCGAAGGAAAACGGCGCCTACCATAACAAACGGGTGTTTCTCACGCCACCATGGTATTCCTCTCACTTTCCGACGACTCTCTCCCCGCAATCGAACAGAGCTAGGCATCTTTGGTAGAAACGACACGCTTCCCGGCAGCGGGTTTTGTCTGAGACACCCATCCTTTTCTCAGGTGGGAGACGATTTGGGTATGTGGAACAATGTCTTGTCTTAAAGGTCTTAAAAACTCCCGAGAGCCTCATGGAGGGCAACTGAGACTCGAATATCGTGGGTTCAACACGATTTCCGGTGAGACTCGCATCTAACCTGAACCTTAAGTCTCGGCACACTTTCCACTGCCCAATAGTAACATATTTCGACATTCATGGCACAACGCCATCATAGATCCCCTCAGGGTCCGCGGAATTTTACCTATCCCCTTGTTCAAAATCGTCCGAGGGTTGCTTCTTGCTCTGGTTACACAGACATGGTTCGGAACCGGAAAATGCAAGACAAGCAACGGCCGCTTGCCGATAGGTAATCACTGGTGGCGGTGATCTACACCCTGCTTCCAAACAGATGTTGAGTTCAACTCAAAGCTAGATCTAAGCTTAAATCTGTTGGAGGAAACTGGCTCAATGACAAACTGACAAGAAACGCCACGGGAAAAATTCCCCGAATGTTGAATCAGATAACCTTGATGGCCTGTCCTCAAGGTGTGAGCCGCAACCGCTCTCTCCTCGGTTCACAACAGCAAGCCCTGATACAAGGCAAGGGTGAGAGGTAGGGCACGGGCGTCCTAAAGCCCGCCCCCATTCCGTCGACTGGCTATCGCAATTCCCTGCACGGCCACACTGACGCTTTTGAGAATATTGTATCGGGACAGACCAATACATCTAACTCAGTTCAAGTCTAACAAGTCCAAAACTACAACAGAAAGCCCTCAAAAGCTCACATTGCTTTAGAAGTACAATGGTCTCATGCTAATGTCTCTGGAGCTGCCCCCAAGCTCTAAGCCTGAGTCCACGGGCCGGGTTTCGGATCCCGATATTCGGCAAACTAAGGAGAGCTGCTACTGTTATACCAAGGACATGGAAGCACAGACAACGTCTCCAACCTCGAGGTGCTAAAACAATAGTTGATGGTGAAAAGGTAAAATACAACACCGGTAGCATCACAGACCAAGAGGTCAAGACCGCTAGCTCCCTTGCTTATACACGGTAATGAACTATTCTGGTCTGACGTCTCCATCTCACCGAAGGAATCAATGCCGAATTAAAGCCCGTCTCCTTCAATTAACTCTTACAAATATCACTCTCCCGGCCCGTTTATTTTCACCGAGACAATCACGACTTAAGCCGTAATGCATGCGACTCTCATAATTTGACATCCTTAGCATCGTACTCTTCTCTTTTGGCTGGTTCTGACCTTTGTGCGACCAACCACTGTCCATACGGTACTCGACTTTTATGTAAAAACTTCCCAGCCTCTCTATTTCTAATGCCCCCACCTACCGCTGCTAACTCTACATGGTTGAGAAGCTCCTTGAGGTGCGGCGGAAATGTTGGCGAAGTCCCCAAGAGTAAATAAACGGTATTAAGAACATAGTTGGTCTTGTGGTATGCAACTATTTACCCCCTGATAGATAGCATTAGCCTTGAGAGAGAGCAGCTGTAGATGATTTCTCATTGGGGAGGATAGAAAGAAAGGTAACACATTTCACTTAACACCTGCCCATGACTCGCTCAGACCCTCGCCTCACCTCACCTCACGAGCCAGCCAGCCACACATCTAAAGTCAATGTGGGGAACCTGAATGCCGAATTTCCACCCGTCCCTGACGAACCCACCCATGCCCCAACTCTCGCCGATCTCGTATGTTGTGTTTACGGAAGCCAGCGTTGGGAACCGGCCATGCGTCGGGTTACCTCTTTGTCAACCTGTTGTATACATGCCGACCGTAAGCCACGGCCACGGCCGCGGTCACAGCTCACGGCCTAGCTTCGGGAGTATCAAGCGCCGTGTAGTCAGCCACCACGCTGTCGTGGACGTGGATGTGTGGTCCAGCAAAAAGGTTGGCCCGGTTTCCCACAGCGCCGTTTGCTGACCGCTGGTTGTTGCCGGCCCGGGCCTCCCCGCCTCAACCTCCCGTCGACCACTCTTCGATTTGTTCAGGGCAGCCAAGGACCGGATTTTCCGTGATGTGATAAAACACCATGTGATTCACTTGCGGCGTGCTTGCATCGCAGCTGCAAGTGCAGGTTAGATGAGATTCCGAGAGGAAAAAAACCTGACAAATGCAGGCGAGAGAATCCGGAAGGAGGGTTTGTGCGACGAGAATCTATCAGATGATTGTCCCGGGCTAGCGTGCTGGATAGAGGAACAAGGGTGGCGTGTGTTACGACATCCATTGTCGAGGGCGAAAGGCCCCCAGGACAGTCGCTTCCCGTATCGATTACATCTTGTGACTTTGGAAAGTTTTGTCAGGTATGAGATGATGGTTGTTCCACCAAGTATGTTTCAAGGCTACATTACGATCAGATCCAGACCGGCGCTGCTGGTATTGCGTGGTTTTGACTTGTGAGCGCAGAAAACAAGGCGAGAAGAGTTGGGATATCGCAACGGAAATACATTGAACCGTTGTTCCCTTTTTGAAGTAAGATACATGGTCAATCGCTGACTATAACCGACAGAAGACTGTCAACAACTTAGTCCCACCAACCTTGAGATTGTTTCTGGTATCACGTTTAAATGGTAACACCCAAAGCCATCTTCTAAGTGCTTCCGTCATTCATGGGGATGCGATACTCAAAAATGGTTATATCCGAAACTCTATTAGCGATGGAATCCAAAAAAGCTCAGGCCGTTAGCATACAATGGCAAATTGGTGACTCCAAATTAGAGTTGCGGTTCTGCACGCCGGTTACTTACCTCGCAGACATTGACGGCGCGATACATTGCATTCCCGCCCCTAGCCCCCGTATCCTTGGGTCCACTACATGTCCTGGGCCGCGAAGTACAGGGGATAGTGGCATCTATTGAGGTTCCTTATATGTTCGCCCCGTGCCAACGTTTGACTCGTGAGAGTCACCCAATTCGTCGGTGATGTCAAATCCGGCCCCCAGCTTCGATGACATAGAGCATATTTAGCAGGTCAATCAGAGTAGTGAGCATCTGTTGTTTCTTTTAACCCTGAGAGGAGAAACTCCCGCCTACTGTTGCTCCAAAATCTGGGATTCCAACAACCGAGCTGCGTCGTCATTCAGGGGTAATTGTTGATGCAACAGTAAACAAGGGTTAGGGTTTCTTACCATCCGGTCGATATGGGCGCACGGGCCAGGTAGCGCCGGCCCGGCCGTCAGCACGTTCACCTGCCACGCAAGCAAGCAGCGACCGGCGCATCCGTTCATCATCGCGAATTTGTGAATCCTATCGCCTTCATCAAAATCAACGGGAGACACGACTGACCGCGTCTGAGTTGTTAGATACCCACCTTTTTTCCTCCTCCGCAGGTTGCCTTCGATCGGACGATTCTCGAACAGCCAACGCCATGAAACCCGTGATCGCGGTACCCGCAATTCTGTTGCTCATCTACCGGGCGCACTCTAAAAAGTCGCTGACGCCCGGGGGCCTCATGGCTGCGACCATCACTGCCATCGCGCACGCAGTGCATCCGTGGAACCTACCGTTTGCGCTTCTCGTCGTCTTCTTCCTTGCCGGTACCCGAGCGACTCATGTATGCTGATTCTCCAAATTCATCCCCTTTATTCCGCGTTTTATCATCGGTATTTTCGATAGCACTAACGAGTTCGTGCAGGTCAAAGAAAACATCAAGGCGGGCCTGACTCTCAAAGCCGGTGGGACATCCGGCGGCGAGGGACCACGCAACCACGTCCAAGTTTTCGCCAACTCTCTCACTGCGTCCATCTTCTCGCTGCTGCACGCCTACCAGCTGCACTCGCGCCAGCAGACCCTGCTCGCCTCGCCCGGCCACCCTGAGGGCGATGCTGGCAGCTTGTGTTTCTCCTGGGGTGGTGACCTCCTGGTGGTGGGCATCATCGCCAACTACGCCTGCGTTGCGGCCGACACGTTCAGTTCGGAGTTGGGGATCCTCGCCAAGGGCCAGCCGCGGCTTATCACCAGCCTCACGTTGCGCAAGGTGCCCCGCGGTACTAATGGCGGCGTGACGCTGACGGGGCTCGGTGCGGGACTACTGGGCAGCATCATCATTGTCACGGCGTCGATGCTGTTTCTTCCACTATGCACTAGCGCGACGGAGGGGAAGCTGGGTGGGGGCGCGGCGTGGTCTCTCGAGCAGCGGCAGACACTGATTCTGGGCCTGACGGTCTGGGGCTTGCTGGGGAGCGTGGCGGACAGTATTCTGGGCGGGCTGTTCCAGAGCAGTGTGAGGGATGTTCGCAGCGGCAAGATTGTGGAGGGTGAGGGCGGCGTGCGGGTGTTGGTCGCCGCGGATGAGCATGCTGCAGCGGTAGGTACGGATGTCAAGGCTGCGCTACTGCACGGCGAGGGCGAGTCGGCTGTGGAGGAGACGGAGCCTGCCGACAAGTATGACGCCCGCGATAAGCACCGCCGGCCGAGCTTCGGAGATGAGAAGCCGTCGCGGACAGTAGAGAATGGATGGGATCTTTTGGACAACAACGATGTCAACTTCCTGATGGCGTTTGGCATGAGTGTAGGTGCGATGGCCGTGGCTTCGTGGTACTGGCAGGTTCCACTTTCATCGGTCTTGCCTGTGGTTTAAGTTGTTTATTATACGGATCTGGTCCCTAGATATTCTGTGTGTTTAATATTAGATATTTCCTACCGAGTTGGTCTTTAGTTCGCTGTCCCACAGATACGGGAGAATTATGAGATTTGTTGTGAATGGCCGGTCTCCTAAATTTAAAAAGGGGGCCGTACCTGGGTACTTAAGACTATCTTGCGGCGGCTTGAACTTTCTGCAATTACTGCATGAAAACAGGATGGAGAACTGGAGCCAACTTTTTTCAAGCATTCTGTGCATCACATCAACGCGGAAATTAATGCATGTACGATGCAAAGAAGACGTCAGACACCCCTCAGACACCTACAAGGCCGACCCCATAATGCTTCCAAGCTCTTTTGGTCAGGTGAGGCGCAGGTTTGTTGCAATAGTTAGCGCCCTACCCCACTAACTTTCACGGCCACGGGCCCACAGCTCGACACCTGTAGAGCTTCTCTCGGACCTCTAGCGAAGCGCCGGTTGAGCCGCTCAGGAGCAGTACGGGGTAGGTAGATGCGGCTCGGTTTGTGTGCAACCAGCAACCACCACACATACGCATCAAACGACTAATCGCTCACGAAAAGCTCCAGAGCAGCCCCGCTTCCAACTCTGATCTTCAATCCTAGCACCCATGAGAGTGAGCTCCTCCACGGTCTGCGACCCCACAGACACATAACCGGCAGGCCCCATCCTGAGCAACCCCCCGTTTCCGCTTTCGACAAGCGACCCCGTCCTAGCGAGCAAGCGAGCTTTGCAAAATTCCCTGGAAGTCATGGCCCAAGCCTACGACGACGAGGAGCTGTCCATCTCTCTCTCTCCATCACAAATACGGCGCAACAGGCGAGTAGGCGAGGGGCGCTCCCATCACCACAACCACGATCATCGCCATTCCCATCACCAAGACCCGACCTCGAGCTCCTCCATCGACGCCGCCGTCATGTCTTCGTCGTCGTCGGCGCCCGGCGCCCACGGCCACCGAAACAATGCCCCGCCCCGCGATAAGTCACGTACCGAGCAGCGTATCGGCGCGTACAATATCGTCAAGACACTCGGCGAGGGCAGCTTCGGCAAGGTCAAGCTGGCCGTACACCGCGGTACCGGTCAGCAAGTGGCCCTCAAAATCATCTCGCGAAAGAACCTCATCAGCCGCGACATGCAAGGGCGCGTCGAGCGCGAGATTGAATATCTCCAATTGTTACGGCATCCGCATATTATTAAACTGTGAGAATAGAATTGAACAATTGCTTGAGCCATTCCTCGCTCCGCTCGTCCTCGCGGGGCAAAGTTACCCCGCTTCTGTGATCTCTCATTTTATCGAACTTAGCACTAATTATTGGCGAATTCGCGATGCATCTCTTAGGTACACCGTAATCAAGACACCGACCGAGATTATCATGGTGCTCGAGTTCGCCGGGGGCGAGCTGTTCGACTACATTGTCGCGCACGGGAAAATGCAGGAGGACGAGGCCCGCCGCTTTTTCCAGCAGATGCTTTGCGCTGTCGAGTACTGCCACCGCCACAAGATCGTTCACCGCGATCTAAAGCCCGAGAACCTGTTGCTCGACGACAACCTCAATGTCAAGATCGCCGACTTCGGCCTGAGCAACATCATGACGGACGGGAACTTTCTCAAGACCAGCTGTGGCTCACCCAATTATGCTGCGCCCGAGGTCATCGGCGGCAAGCTATATGCGGGACCCGAGGTGGACGTGTGGAGTTGTGGTGTGATCCTGTATGTCCTGCTGGTCGGGCGCCTGCCCTTTGACCACGAGCACATTCCCACCCTGTTCGCCAAGATCGCCCGGGGTAGTTATATGGTACCGACCTGGATGAGTCCTGGCGCGGCGAATCTCATCAAGAAGATGCTGGTCGTTAACCCCGTCCAGCGGGCGACTATTGAGGACATTCGCATGGACCCGTGGTTTCTGAAGGACCTGCCCACCTACTTGCACCCGCCCGTCGAGGAATTCCTGAACACAGGCGTCGACCCGAATAAGGCGATCAAGGTCAGTGACATTGCGCCGAACGCGCCGCCGCAGGAGCAGGAGAAGCTCCACAACGAGGTTACCGATAAGATCAGCAAAACTATGGGTTACGGGAAGCGGGATGTCGAAGAAGCCCTCGAGGCCGACGAGCCGTCTGCGATCAAAGACGCCTACATGATTGTGCGCGAGAACAAGATGATGCAGGCCAACCAGCTCTCGGGCCCCTCGGCGGACGACGCGACACCGAGTCCCTTGCTGGATCCCACCATGTCGTCTGCCCGGTCAATAACGTCAACCAGCACGGGTGCGTCCGCCGTTCGGCCCCCCTACGTCAGCAAGGTCGGCATTCTTCCTAGCAGCCTGACGCTGTACCACAAGGCGTTCATGGAGCGCGAGCGGGCGCGGGCCGAGGGGGTCGATCTGTCGGATGCGCCGCTGGCTTCCCTGGAGCCGGCATCTCAGCCACGGAACCAGGCCGAACAAGAGGAGACGCTGCGCCGGCTGAAACCGCATTCGCGCAGCTTAATGCGGCCGGACGACGCCAGCCGGCCACAGGGGCTGACTCCCGTCAACCTGGGCAGGAAGACCAAACCAACCCGGTGGCAGTTTGGAATCCGCTGTAAGAATGCACCCTGGGAGGCCCTGCTGATGATCTACAAGGCGTTGCACAAGCTGGGCGCGACATGGTTGGTGGACGAGGACTACGATACCGCACAACAAGAGGACGATGGGGGCGACTACCGCAGGCACTCGCGCAACCGAAGCTCGTCATCGGCGGCGACAGTAGACCCTCGGGACATCTACAACCTGCCTGCGGAACCATGGCATATCAATGTCCGATGGGAGACTGGGAGTACGTGACCTAATACCTTTTCTTCTTCTACCCTTGAACCATTTCCGTTTTGCTGGATAACTCCTTTTCACTAACCTCTTGCCGGTTTAGAACTTCAAAAACACTCGGCCGCCTTGAATCTCGGAGACAATGCATCACCCGTCAGCCCGCCACAAGTCACCCGCAAGAACGGTCAAGACGCGCACATCGTGGCGCTGCGCATGGAGATTCAGATCTACGAAATGGACCAGCCCGTCTTCCTCGTCGATTTCAAGATTGACGGCTACGAAACCCCCGACGGCAAGCTCCTCGAGGACAAGGAAGTCACCAGCCCGTTCCCGTTTCTCGACATGGCCGCTGCGCTCATCATCCAATTAGCCGAAGAAGAGTAGGAAAATAATCGGGCGGATGGAGCGGTGGAGCAGCAGCAGCAGCAGCAGCAGACACAACCACAGCAGCAGCAGCAAGACCAGCCGCAGCAGAAACTGAAACAGCAAGACCAGCCGCATCAGCAGACACAGCAACAGCAAGACCAGTCGGAGACACAGCAGCAGACACGGCAACAGCAGCCACAGCCACAGCAGCAGCAGACACAACCACAGCAGCAGCTGACACAGCAACAGCAAGACCAGCTGCTGGTGCAGCAGCTGGTGGAGGTGACGCGGCGACTGTCACTGCGAAAACCGGAGGAGTCCCAGGATGGTTCCCAGGATCTGAGTTAATCGAAATACGGTAGCATTTTGTGGGAACTCTGACAGCGTTGTCGATGGATATTACGACGGCTTTGGGGCTTGGCTTTGGAACAGAGACAAAGGGGTCATCAATGGTTTGGGTTACTACATCCGGGGCAGAGACGCAACATGAACACCTCGGATATTCGACGGAGCCACTGTATTCTGGTTACTTTTCGTGAGGATCCTACGTTCCCACCATTCACGACACCTTCAGCCGACGGCAAACCCCTGTCGATTTGTCCAGCACCACTAGACGCCCGATCGATCACCTCCTCAGTCATATTATTTGTAGTGCATCAAGACGACATACTACACTCAACACGCTGCGATACCTGGCGCGACGTAGCACCGGGTGCATTGATACAAACACTGCGAAGTCCTAAGTGCCGGCTGGTCTTTGAGCCGTTACACAGGCATCGCTTGGTGTGTATTGTCACGCTACTTTTACTTTTTACCTTACCATGTCGTCTTTCGAGAGGGGGCCCGAAGTGAACATGACACCACACGACACGACGCCCGAACCACTGTTGGGGGAGGGGGCGGTTAATTGCCGATGCTTAGTCTTTTTGGGTCCATGAGGCCGGCGGGGAGATAGCGGGTTGGGAGTGTGAAGGGAAGAGGACAAATTCAATGAAGAAGGATGGGTGGGCAGGCAGCGATGGTCTTTTTTATTTTGCTTTTTGCTTTTTGGTTTGCCCGGCTAGGAGGTCAGCGTGGGCTATATACAAGCGTCACGAATGGGTTATGAGTGCAATGGGTGGATTATGGATGGATTATGGGCGGATGGATGGATGGAACAGATAGATGGTATCCGTATCCCTGGCGTTGACTACAGAGGTTTATCGAATAGTTCTTCTCTCACTCATTTCCATGGCTTTATCTTTCATGGCTTATTTGAGTGATGATGCCTTTGGTGACCGGTGCCTTTAAGGACATTCACCGAAGGTGATTCCCCCGGAAACGGCCGGCGGTTGAGTGTTTTACAATATTTTCTCTTGTCCCTTCTTATGTATCACTCTGTCTTCCTAATCTGACCTTCAAATGTCCCATCAATTCAACTTTCTCAAAACAGAACCCAGACTTCCCTCAAGCCTGCAACGCCAACTCCTCCCTCGCAGCATACGACCCCTTCTTCCACCCGTGCGTGGCCTCCTTCTCCCTGCCCCCCTTCTGACCCTGTCCATTGCTCCGTTCAGCCCCAGGTGCCTTGGGCTCGCCGACTTTCCCCCATGCACCCCCACCAGGCGTGTGGATGATGATGCGGTCGCCGGCTTGCATGGGTGCGCTGTTCTTTGCGCCAAGGTTGATGAACCGTTCTTCGTATTCGTCGTCTTCTTTTTCGTCTCCCTCGTCTCCCGTTACGTTCTGGCCGGCGGTGGAATTGTCCTCAGCCTGCGACCGCTGCAACCGACGCAGGTTACTCTCCCACTTAGCCTTCTTCACCTTCCGCACCCACAAGTTCAACCCACACGCACCCTCCCCGCCACCAGCCATGCCATACGGGTGATACACACGCCGTTCACTGAGAATAGACACCTGCAGCGGGATCCGAAACTCAATATCACGCACCACACCATGCCCACCACGATGTTGCCCTTCCCCGCCCGAACCCCGGCGAATCGAAAATTCCCGCAGCAAAACCGGATACCGCCGCTCAAACACCTCGGCGTCGGTGATGCGGGTGTTGGTCATGTGCACGTGGACACCGTCGGTGCCCTCCCACGTGGGACCCGCACCGCTGCCGCCGGCGATGGTCTCGTAGTAGCCGAAGCCACGCACGGCGGTTTGCCCCGTGACGTTGCCGCCGAAGCCGAAGGTCAGGTTGTTGCAGTCGCCTTGGCTGGCGGCGCAGGCTTGGAAGGCGCGAAAGATGACGTCGGTGATGCGTTGGGAGGTGAGGACGTTGCCGCCGACGACGGCGGCGTTATCGGAGGGGGAGAGGAGGGATTTCGGGGGGATGAGGACGGTGATGGGGGCCAGGCAGCCTTGGTTGAGGGGGATGTCTTCGGAGATCATGCAGCGGAGGGCGTAGATGATGGCGGAGTAGGAGATGGCTTGGGGCGCGTTGATGTTGGCGTAGACTTCGGGGCCAGTGCCGGCGAAGTCGAAGACGGCTGCGCCGAGGTCCGGGTCGATGGTGATGCGTAGGCGGATGGGGCTGCCGTCGTCCATGAAGTCCTCGGCGGTAAGGTCGCGGCCTTGGAAGCGGGTGTGGACGGTGCGCAGGAGGGCGCGGACTTGTTGCTCGGCGTTGTGTTGGATGGCGACCATGTAGAACTGCACGGTGGCTTCGCCGTACTCGGCGATGAGCCCTTCGATCAGGGAGATGCCCTTTTGGTTGGCGGATACCTGCGCGCGGAGGTCATTGATGTTGTCGGCGAGACAGCGCGTGCCGGAGCAGCCCGGGTGCTGGGCGGGCTCGTCGTAGAAGAGCTGGACCACGCGCTCCTCGTTGAAACGGCCCTGGCTGACGAGTTTCTCGCTCTTGATGGCGGCGCCTTCTTGGTGGAGCTCGCGCGAGTGCGGCGGCATGCTGCCTGCGGTGATGCCGCCAATGTCGGCGTGGTGGGCGCGCGACGCGGCGTAGAACAGGATCTTGTCGCCGGCCGCGTTGAAGGCGGGCATGACGAGGGTCACGTCGGGCAGGTGGGTGCCGCCGTACGACGGGTGGTTCGTGATGATGACGTCTCCTTTACTGAGTCTCCCCTTCCAGATCTCGGCTTGGCGGCGCACACACGTCGACATGGAGCCCAGATGGACGGGCAAGTGCGGCGCGTTGGCCACGAGCCCGCCGTGTGCGTCAAAGATGGCACACGAGAAGTCGAGGCGCTCCTTGACATTGGTGCTGACGCTGGTCTTTTGCAGCGCGCGGCCCATCTGCTCGGCGATGGCCATGAAGCGGTGACCAAAGATGGACAGCATGATCGGGTCAACGTCGTCGTAGCTTGAAGGGTTTGGTGTATCCGTGGTTGTGGCCTTCTCAGAAGAAGACTTGTCAGCTGCAGCCGCCGAAAGATCGATAATAACGTGGGTGTCTAGCACCAGAGCAGTCGTCCTCGGCGTCACAACGATAGTCTGCGTGCCATCAGCCAGCATCGCGGGGCCCTTCACGACCTCGCCCACGTCGAGATCGCCCAGCTTGTAGACCGGCGACTTGACCCGGCCCCCTTCAAAGTACACATCCGCCTCAGAATGCTGCTTGCTCGCCGACACATCCTTGGGGGACACCTCCTGCAGCTGCTCATCCACCGTCTTCTTGTCATACCGGAAACTCTTGCCAATCCCCCGCACCCGCACATCGTCGACGATGATGTCCCGCTCGTCCAGGGTAAACCCAAACTCGTACCGATGGTGCTCAACAAACGCCTTGCCGTAATCCCACGCTGTCTCTTCTTCGTCCCCGCCGGGCTTGATAATCATCAGCGCCGACTCGGTCCCGCGGTACCGCATATTGAGGTACTCCTCGAACACGACCTGGTCGTCGTCCTCAAACCCCTGGTCCCGCAGCGCCTCCCGGGACTTGGCCTTGAGCCCGTCCAATCTGCGCTTCAGCTGGTCGACCACCTCACGCTCGCCCGTCCACACAGTCGAATCCGGCTCCTGTCGCTCGTCCACGACATCAGCCAGCGCCATGCCGTATGCCGATAGCACTGACGAGTACCGGTGAATGAGGATCTGCTTGATACCAAGCGACGCGGCAATGGCCACAGCGTGCTGCCCGCCCGCACCGCCAAATGTAGCCAGACGGTGCCGAGACGTGTCGTGGCCCTTGGCCTCGGTGATGCTGCGGATCGGCCTGGTCATTGCCTCGTTGGCGACAGTCAGGAACCCGTACGCAACCTCGTCCACGTCCATCTTCTTGCCTGTCTCGTCGTGGATTTGGTCAGCCAGCGCCTGCAGCACCTTTCGGCTCGCTTCGGGGTCCAGCCCTTGGTCCTCGTTCGGGCCAAAGATCTTGGGGAAGAACTCGGGCAGGAGGCGGCCGAGGAACAGGTTCGCATCCGTCACCGTAGCGGGCCCTCCTTTACGATAACACGCTGGGCCTGGGTGAGCACCGGCGGACTCGGGCCCAACAACAAACATGCCGTTCTTGAAGAAGAGCATCGACCCGCCTCCCGCAGCCACGGTGTTGATGTCCAGCTGTGGCGACTGGATCGTGACGCCTGCGGTGGTGGTCTCAAAGGTGTGGTCGTACCGGCCGTCGCCGTAGCGCGAGACATCGGTGCTGGTACCGCCCATGTCGAAGCCGATGACCGGGATTTTGGTCTTTTCATCGTACGACGTGATGGCATACCCGACCACACCGCCCGCTGGGCCAGATAGAATAGCCCGAAGCCCCGTGAATCGGTCCACATCCACCAACCCGCCGTCGCTCTGCATAAACTCGCATCGCGCGCCCTTGTTTCTGCTCCCGCCGCTGCTCGCCGTAGCGTCCTTTGCATCATCCCTGACACTTTTCGAACCAAGCCCGCCCTCAAACCCAGCCTGGAACCCCTCAATATACCGCTTGATCGCCGGCGTCAAGTACGCATCCGCACACACCGACGTGGCCCTTGGCACCAGCTTGATCATGGGCATCAACTCATGGCTCAGCGAGACATGGGCAAACCCAATCTCCCGCGCCACCTCGCCCACCAACGCCTCATGATCCGGAAACGTATACGCATGCATCAAGCAAACCGCCACGCTCCGGATCCCGCTATCATACACCGCCTGCAACTGCTCCCTCACCTTCTCCCTTGCAGGCCGCCTCAAAATCCGCACCACCTCCCCCGACAGTCCCATCACCAAGTCGTCGTCTGCTGCGGTCCCGGAGCCATTACTGTTCAACCCACCCGCTTTCCCATCCACCTTCGTCACCGTCCGCTCCGGGTCCTCCGCATAATCCTCCAGCGTAACCCTCTCCTCAACCTCCACCACCCGCGAGAACAGCACATCCGGCTTCCGAATCGCCAGATCAAAGATCTTAGGCCGCGACTGGTTCCCAATAACCAGACAATCCCCAAACCCCTGCGTCACCACCAACGCAATCTCCTCCCCCTTACGCTCCAGCAGCGCATTCGTTGCCACCGTTGTGCCCATGCGGATGGACTCGATGCGCGCCGTGTCGAGGGGGGTGCCGCGCGGGATCTCATTTGTGTCGTTAGAGAAATGGGACATGATGCGACGGATGCCTTCGAGCGGCGCGTCGGCGTAGTTGGCGGGGTCTTCGGAGAGTAGCTTGATGACGACGTCTTGGCCGCGGTAGGTCCCGACGCAGTCTGTGAAGGTGCCGCCGCGGTCGATGGCGATGCGGATGCCGCGTTCTTTTTGGTTGGTTGGGGGAGCCATGGTTGGGGATTGAATTGTGATGGCGAGGGGGAAAAGAGAATGATGATGATTTCGGGTTTGTACCTTGGTGCGTGTTAGTTTCGAGTTTTTAGACTTCGGTATTGAGATGAGAGCTCTCCCTGAAAACAAGCAAAGAAGAGGAGATTGAGTGAAGGCAAAACGGGACACTCACTCTTTGTCACGGGTCCCTATGAATCCCCATACAGAGAGATCAGGTCGCGTCTCTCAAGCCAACTTACAAATAACAATCCCGAAACAAATTCAAGATGTTCCAAGCTAGAGGTTGCAATGTTCGTTCGATACACTCAATCTCAAGGGCAATTGCTAAGTGAGAAGAGAAATATGGCCAACTCGCAGTTCTTATGTCTGACAAACCCCACGCTCAAACAACTCGGCAACTTGACAACTTGCCGAGCAACACAATGCAAGGATAGCTCTAGATCCTCCAACAGCTCTGCAGTATGTCCGAATACATGGCGTCACATTCAAGACAAGACAGCAGGAAGAAAGCTCCGGCTAAGGCGGAAGAGGGGCACGAGGGGCACGCGGGGCAAGCGCCCCACTTCCGATTGCTCGGCCGATAAGTTGGCCTTCGGGCCGAGGGGTCGATTGTGTCGATGAGGTTGCCAGGGTTAGGGTAAGACATGGCCCCCCTTGAATGAGCGAGCCCCATAATTGAACGTTAAACCAACCACTACACGAAATGCAGAAGAAATATTGAAAGTTGAAAATGTCGTGATATACGCTCTTGCTCCCGTCTCTATTCTTTTTATGTTCACTTCCCCCCTACCCCGAAAACAAATCCGCCACCCCAGACCACTGCCCCTTCGCCCTCTCCTCCCAATACCCATCCTTACCCCCTTTCAACCTCCAAACCTCCTCACCACCACCACCACTTCCAGCAGCATCCTGCCCAGTCGGCACCTTCGTAAACCACCGCGGCTTCCACTCTTCCCCTTGCTCCTCCATCACCCTCCTCCTCTGCCTCTGCGCCTCCTCCAATTTCACCTTCCACTCTTCCGCCTCGTCCAGCTCGCCTTGCTCTGCCAAGCGCTGGTCCGGCCGCAGCCGGCAATCCGTCGGCGGCAGCTTGCCCTTTTCCAGCGCCGTGATCTCATTCAGACTCGCCGCAAATGTCGTCAGGCCGTACGTCGTCGCCGGCTTGTCGACCAGCGACCCGGCTTTCCAGACCTCGCGGTTGCCGGGCTGCATCTTGAGAGCGTTGGTCCATGTTCCCGACATGGTGACACCGAGGTTGTCGCCGTCTGGACCGACGGTGTCGACATAGACTTCCTCGCCGCGGCCGCCAAAGACACCCTTCGAGCGGAACTCGACGGTGGCTTTGGCGCCCGTGGTGTCGTTGCAAACGTGCATGGTCCCGACCGGCTCGACGTATTTCTCGCCCATGACGACGTTGCGCAGAAACACGGTCGCCGTGTTCCAGCTGTAGTGCTCCTCCTGCGATCCCGCATCGTCCCCATCGCCTCCCGTAGCCAGCCTTAGACTCACCCGCACCCGTCCCTCCGTCGTCAGCTCGGCGCTCTTGCCCCAGAATTTCTGCGTTGGCGCCGGCGATTGCGCAAACGACCACTGCGCGCTGTCCGCGTGCATAGCCAGTCTCACGGGGCGATGTGACACCTTCTCGACTAGCAGCCGCAATCCACCAGGGACTTCGGCTTCGCTCCGCACCAGCTCAAACGTTTCGCCCAGCAGCGGGTTGAACGGCTTGCGGATGGCCCGCTCTTTGGCACGCCCGTTGCTAAACTGCGAGATGGCGAACGCCGCGACGTACAACAGCCGGTGGCTCGCCTGGTCCTGGCGTGCCGCGGCGTCGAGAAGCGGCGCGTACTCGAGCTGCTCGGCCATACGCTGCAGTAGTGAGACGGGCTCGTTCGCGGACACGGGCATCGAGATCGTGCTAAGATCCTTGCCGACATTCTTGCGCACAAACGCAATTAAGCTGGGCGGCGCCACCTTGGCCGGTGGGATGGTCTTGCGCCGGGCCACGGCGTCGGTAATGGGGAGTGGTGTGAGCGACTTTGGCTTCGCGGGGAATAGACTGTCGGCCCCATCCGCCGCGGGCTGCGCTTCATTGTCCTCAACCGACGAGATCGACGAGGAGTCGTCGATCGAGACCTCCTCTTCCTCGGCCTCCGACGCGGGGGTTTCTTCGCCTTCGTCCTCCTCGCTACGGCGGTCGATCAGCAGGACCTGGTTCTGCGACTTGTCCGAGTCACCCGCCTCCGCGTCAAAGAACTCCTCCACTGTCGACGTCGTCGATTCGAGGCTCCTCCTCGGGGCCGCAGCCGCTTGCAGTGGGATCCGCCTGCGTTTGCTTGTGTTAAGCAGGCTAGAGAACTCGACCACAACCGAGTCCAGATCCTTCAGCAGTGCCGCGCAGCTGTCGTGGGTGTCACGGTCTCCCTGTAGCGGACCGTACGACTTGGCACCGTTCAGGTTCGGCGTCGCTGCGCCGGAGGCTGGAGACGCAGCAGCAGCAGCAGTGGGGACCGCGAGGGATGCCGCAGCGGCCGTGGCAGACTGAAACGACTGCGGTGTTAATGGAGATGCCGAGCCGCTGGCTTTGCGCTTCCAGAACGACCGCCTATCCGCCGGCTGAGGCGAGGATGGGAAATAGCCATCCGAGTCTTCCGGTACCGTCGGCGTGCTGGGCGAGAGGTACATGCCGTGGCTGCTGACAGGTCGCTTCTCCGCCGCCAGGTCCTTGACAAGGCGCCGAAGGGCGTCCCGTGTGCCAACAATCCTGCTAACCAGGGACTCGACATGCTCCCAGTCCCGATCCTCCTCCTGTTGTATGTTTCGGGTCGTGGCGGGCCCAGCCTGCTGGGAACTTGCCGAGTGATCGCCCTGTGTCTCGGATGTCGGCTCGTCCACAACGCTCTCCAGCCCCCGCGCAATCTTGCTCGCCCGCTCGAGGGCCCGGGCCCAGTCGGTGAATTCCTTGGCGTTCGAAGCCCTGAGGTGCCAGACCTCTGCTCCCGAATCGATCGTGATCTCGCGGCGTCTCTCGTCCGCAGCAATGGCCGCCAGACTCAGGGGGATCGCGCCTCGAAGGGCCGAGGATGTCCGGCTGTGATAATACGATAGAGTACAGGTCGTATAGTCCAGCGAGAAGAATCGCCGGGCGTACCCCTGGCCCTTCTTTCGCCTCCTCTTGAGCAGCACGCCAACGTGGTACGAACTGGAAGCCCCAGAATCGCTCTTCCCGGCCGCAGACAGCGTTGACAACGCTCGCCCGCGCTGTGGGCCGCTGTGAAGACTGTCTACCGAGTCCGAGGTCACCGCACCCAGTCGCGGGCTGTTATTTGACTTTCCTAGGCTGGACCGGCTGGTGCTAGCCGCGGGACCGGCCTGTAGGTTGGGCAAATGGCGGGCCGTTTGCGGCGGGGCGCCCGTCGGGTAGGTCAGCAAAACAAAGGTAGCCGTCTTAGAAGTCTGCTTCGAGAAGGTATTGTCAAAAACCAGCCCGAACATCCCGCCTTGCGTGACGTCGTATGTCCCCACTGACACCTTGTCCGCTTCGCATTTCCCGTGCCATTTTATTGGTATGAATCCCTTCTTCGCCAGTTGATCCTGTGCTGTGCTAACATCTCTCTTTCCAAACAGCCCGGCTTTCGATTCGGCCACGCCGTCGGTGTGTTGTTCAAAACCGCCGAGGTCATCCGAGTGTGACATCAGATTTGTGCCTCCTGTGCCGGGGTGTTTTACAATCGCGAAGTTTCTATTAGCAATAGTTAGCAGGAGGGGTTGACCTGGGACGGCATGTAATGCTTGGTGCCAGGGGGCCATCTCACATCGACTTCTTGTGCGGTTGTACACTCCATGAAATAGTGTGGCCCGCGTCAACCTTGACCCATCGCACAATGTAGGCCTGTCAGCAGTAAAAGCTGCAGGTTAGCAACTATCGGGGTATGACCCTCATTGTAGCCAGAAATTGGCGCTGAAAACGAGGTCTCAGCAAGATATCCCATTAGCGCGACGCACCTTGCTATGAATTTCCAACTGCTCGATGCCCGCCATGCTGTTGTTGGCCCTAGGCTGCGCTCGAAGCTGCTGTCGCGATGTAAATGCTTGGCTGGTGGACCGATTTATCTACTCTCGAAACAAGCCGTTCATCGGAGCGTGGTCGAGAAATTTCGGAAACTGTTTGGGAAGAAGGACGCTCGGTGGAGGGGTCAATCCTCGGCGTGGAATCGATGTGGAAATAGGCGACTTTTGTTCTGGCTTTGGAGCAGGCTGAATACGAACTTGTCCGTCAGGAACCGTACAAACGCACGCAATAGTGGAGTGGCTTCGCCTCGCGTAGCTCTCCTAATCGCTCACGTCGCCCAGGTCGAGTATGTTCGTTGAGCATGGAGTGTGAAATCAAATACAAGTCCAGACGGAAGACGGGAACCTCGGCGTGGCAGCCAGGAGGTCGGGATGATCACAGGAGTGCCTAGCAATGTGGGGCAGACCAACCTCCCTCCCGTCCGGCATTGCTGTTCTTTTTTCAGGGCCTCACCCCTGTTTCGCGACTATGCCACTCTCGGTAAGGTGAGGGGAAGGATTTGGTCAGCCCTACCAATACGCCTTCCTTTGTCACCTCAATTCCCTCCCGAAACCGATCCACGGAAGACACGACCTCGTCACCGGGCTGCTGAGCCCGGCCGAAAAAGAATGGCAATATCTTTAGACGGGACGAAAAGCAGACGGTACCGACGTCCCGCCTTTTTCCCCCATTTTCAACGAGTTCGACGCCGCTATCATCAGACACGGAAGAGAACGACCCAGTTCGGGGGATAGAAACGTTGACAGCCCCAAGGCAACCAGATCAAATTCAGGACAGACTTACGTCAGCTCTGTCTTTCGTGTCGAGAACGCGTAACCCAAGAGAGGGAGACGGCCCTTGCAGACAGCTCAAAGCAAAGGTCTTTGACCTGTTTTTCTTGGGTTGTATTCCTCGATCGTGTACCCTCCAATTGGTCTGCTCGGAATAGCGAGCAACATTGGTTGATTTCATTGAACTCATTTTCTATAATTGGATAGAAACAAACTCCACACCTCATAACTACCTAATTCCCGAGATACTTGCTCAGCTTCCTTCTAATCTCTGCCAATTCCTTACCAATGCTAACAAATCTCACTACGGCGTGCGTGTACACTAAAGCAGGCTCCCCCTTTTGCTCGAAGCAGAAAAACAACCCGCTGAAGTTTCCTTTGGCGGGGAAATTCGATCCTATGAAATCCCATGATGGAGGTGAGGTGGCATAACCAGTGTAACCTCCCCGGCACTGAGGCGGGGGCGGGGCAAGCGCCCTTCAATCTACTTGCGTGACATCACCCACTCAAACCCCATTCACTCACCCACGTTTCCTCTCTTTTCCCCAACACATACATCTCATGTTCCTCTCTATTGTCACTGAAATAACTGTCTTGCTCAGACAACACAGTTTATGTTTCTCCGCTTTCCAGCAAGCGTCCATTGCATTCAGGGAATAACCCGCCAAGTAAACAGAACCGTTTCAACCAAAACAATACAAACTAAATTCCATAAACCAAACAAACTGAACAAAACGATGGCTAGCCCTCAGTACCGTCTCGTCTACTGGCCCGGCATCCCCGGCCGCGGCGAACATATCCGCCTCGTCTTCGAGGAAACCTCCACCCCCTACACCGACACCGCCACCACCTCCGACGGCCTCGACCGCGTCCTAGCCTACGTCCAGGGAAACGTCCCGGACGACAACATCAACCCCCCTCCCCTAGCACCCCCCATCCTCCAACACCTCGCCGACCCCAACAACGACACCAACGTCACCACCATCAGCCAAACCTCCAACATCCTTCTCTACCTCGCCACCCACCTGCCGCCGGGCAGCATCGCCCCAGACCCCAAAACTGACCCCAACGCGCTCTTCTACCTCAACAGCCTCGCTCTCACCGCGCTCGACGGCCTCAGCAACGAGCCGCATGATTGCCACCACCCGATTGCTTCGGGCCTGTACTACGAGGACCAGAAACCGGAGAGCCTACGGAAAGCGGACAATTACGTTCGCGTACGGCTTCCCAAGTTTCTAGGATACTTTGAGAGGGTGTTGGGGAGTGGGGCAAGTGGTGGAGGCAAGTGGTTGTACGGTGGGAAGTTTAGTTTCGCGGATCTGGTGTTGTTTCAGGTGAGTTGCTGTCTCTTGTCTTTTTTCGTTGTTCCCGCTCCCCCTCCTCCATCCCCCGGGCTTAGCCTGAAGGTTTATCTTCCCCTCTCTCGGCCATTCATCTCCTCCTTGCAAAAGTAAAGAAACGCCTCACACAATCATCTTCCCTACTAACCTCACCATCCCAGTGTCTTGACGGTGTCAAGTTCATGTTCCCCAAGGCGGTGTCAAAATATGAACGCGAAGGGACATATGCAAAGGTATTCGCGCTCTACCAAGCCGTTTCAGAGCGCCCAAAGATTACGGAGTATCTCAAAAGTTCGAGAAGGCAGAAATACTCTGACGGTATCTATCGTTACTACGAAGAGTTAGACATTGAGCCGTAGGTCACGTGCTGCTGGCAAATACCACGGGCGGAAGGAGGTCACTGGAAACCTTCAGTTGAGCATTGGATTGGGAAAGGGTGACGATGAGACACAATCTACTTAAGGGTAACTTAGTTTCAATGTTAGCCAAGACATGGGAATCACAGCACATCATACGTGAAAAAGAACAAAGTGAAAGAGCAAAACAGTGCATTAACAACCAACCCCCCGATCCTACCCACCACCCTGCCTCCTAAGAATAGCCTAGCCATCATCCATCCTCCCCCCCAATCCAACCTCCAAAAGCAAAAGAAGAAAAGAAAAGAAAATACAAAAAGGCCCACCACCACTCCCTCCACTTGGAGTACTAGCTTCAGGAAAAGAAAACTAAAATACAAAGCCCGCCACCACCCCCTCCACTAGGAAGTCCTAGCTTTGGGATAAGAAAACTAAAGTACAAAAGAGCAAAACCTCAAAACAAAACACAACCGAAAGCAAAAACCAAAGCAAAACCAAAGCAACAACCACAAACATAACAATAGCCACCCCCAATAACAATAACTAAACACTCCTCCCAAAACCAAACCATCCTCCCAGAACCATCCCTTCCCATCAGAGCGCCACTGGATCGAACGCCAGATCATACTCCCTCCCGAGCCTCTGGAAGTATCCCAACACCGCAAGACGACCAGCCTCGTTGGGTCCGTCCAGTCTCCGCCGGAACTGCCGCTTGAAGAATTCGATGGTCTTGCGACCACCGGAAACATTGTCCAAGTGACAGTCGGCGGGTCCTGGGGCGAACTCATCGTCTAGGCCGTCCTGGCAGCGCTGCTTCCATCCTTCGATCCAGGACTCCGAGACATCCTTGCACAGCTGGGAATCCAGCATGTACAAGGCTCCCTTGTCGATCCATTCCTCGCAGATCCCCCGAAGAAAGTCCAAGGCATTCTCGGCACCGGCGGAAGTCGTGGGGGCCGAGGAGACAGGGGCGGAAGAGACCTGCGAGACAGGAGCCGGGGCACGAGCACGCCGAGCCATGGATGACCGGGGCTTGTTGTTGCGGCGGGTCGAAGGTTGCGCAGATGGCGCAAAGGCGAAGCTGATGGCAGGTTGCTCCGTGGCCGACGAGAACGCCGGTGCCGTAAGGCTGACGGATGGAGCAAAGACCGGAGCGACGACGGGGGCAGGGGCCGGGGTGAAAACCGGAGCAACCACAGGGGCGCGAACCGGGGCGGGAACCGGAGCAGGAGCCGGGGCGGGAGCGGCGGGGGCGGGGACCGGGGCGACAGGAGAACCGACGGGCGAGAAATCAAAGGGACCGACTTGTAGTTGTGTCTGTTGAAAGTGTGTTAGCATGAGAGGCGAATGTCATCACGATTGCGCTTAATTGCTTACCTCGTTGACGACGAGTGACTGGTCCTCCTCGACTTCGCACAGCTGCACCTCCATGCCTGTGCCTGCAGAGACGGTCGGCACAGGAGTTGGCGGTAGAGGTGAAGCGGTGAAAGCCGGCGAGCCCTGACAAAGGAGCAGCTCGCTCGGGGGCTATTATTGATGTCAGTACTAGGTACCACTGCATGAGAAACGGGCGAGAATAAAGCTTACAGCGTCGATCATCGTGATGTCGGTCATTTCGACATCAACCACAGAGCCGTCGACAGGGTCGGCGACATAGTCGGGCATCTCGATGTTGATAATCGAGAGTTCCTCGGGCTCTCCGACGACGAGGGGGAGTGCGTCCGGCATCTCAATCTCAACGTCGACCGTTTCCTAGACGGCCGACAGAGGGACAAAGAGCTGGACTTCCATTGTCTCAGGGCCTGGCGCGGAAGCAGGGACCAAGGCCATCTGAGGACACCCGAAAAGGGCCTCGAAGTCGGGAGCGGGGACCGGGGCGGGGAGCGGGGGGGTTGCCTGTCGGGAGGCGAGAGAACGACCAAGGCGCCAGGTTGGCACGAAGTTCTCGAAATCTGTGAGCGAGAATGCCGTGTCAGTACATGAAGTGAAGGCAGGCCGAGTTGTACATACCGAAGCGCCGGGACCTCTTCTGCATCAGCTCGAGTTGCCGAAGCGACTCAGCCTCTGCGCGGCGGAGGTTGGACCGGTGGGCGGCGATTTTCTTGTCGAGATCGAGGAGAGCTTGCCGTTCCTTGTCGAGAGCTGCTGACAGGTGTTGAACCTGTTCGTCGTTGGCGAGAGCGGCAGCGTGGAACTCCTTGATCTTCCGGGCGAGAAACACGACCTTGAGATCCGTGGCGTAGACTGTGAAGAGAGAGGGAGAGAAAAGTCAGGTCGGTTTGATGACGAGAAACGAAAAACCAAACGCCCAAGACACAACTTGACGCCGAGTATGACACCAAAAGTCGAGACTCTGATGCAGGATGGCGACATGACCAAGACAAAGTGCCGACAATATTGAAGACCGACAGAAGGGCGGAAACATGAGAAGGAAGGAAATGAAAAGGAAGAGACTTACACATCTTGACGAGGACGTTCGGCTCGGACCACTCGGTGTCGCTGTACTTCTTGGTCGCGAGTATCCCAGGGTGAGGTCGGAGACCGAACACCGTGTGGAATTCCACACAGCGCCGGTTGTGCTCCAGAACCGTGTTGCTGAGATCGGCGAACAGAGAGGCGATCAATTCCCGCTGCTTGGTGAGTCGCATACGCAGCTTGGTATATACCGGCTCAAGGGTCGAACGGCGTCCCTCTTCGCGGAGGACGTCGTCGACCAGTCGAGGCAACCCTACGTTGCGTAGTCTAGACTCGTAAGCAGCGACAACAGCTCGTCCCAGCTGTGTCCAGAAGAAGCAGAGAACCGAGAAGAGCACTGGAGGGGGGCGGATCCAGGCGGGAAGGGGAGGAAGAGCGATGAGGGCGATGAGGACGGCGAAGGGGAGAAGGAGGAGGGAGCAGAGGACGTTACCGATCATCTCGAAGTGCCCAGACACTTGTCTGGGCAGATCGAGGAAGATAGCGGTAAACGCCAGGAAGGCAAGGAGGTACAGAGAGCTCACCGGGTACGACATTGTTTCGGGCCGGGACCTTGAACGTTGATCGTGGTCGGTGAGGGAGGAGGAGAGGAGGGTGATGGTAATGGCGACGCGGGGCGACGCGTGTCGGTGCGGGAGCGGGAGCGGGAGCGGAGCGAAGCGAAAGGGTGACGACCGCGAGGTCGAGAAGAGGGAGCGACTGTGAGTCGAAAGCAGCGAGAGCGCAAGAGCGAAGCAGAAAGTCGGTGCAGTGATTGAACGAAAATTGCTGGTGCAAATTTGCCAATGTGAACGCGAAGATCGGAAACGATGAAGAAGAAAAGAAGAGAAGGAGAGAGGGAGAAGAGTGGGAGGGAGCGACTATTTATGCTTTTCCGGGGCGGGGGCGACGGGCACATTGGCCTCTGCCTTTTGTTATGATCGCTCCTTCCGCTTCTTCCTAATTCCAGTTGAGAACTGTTGTCGGAATGTGTCGAGGAAGGAGCGAGCTGGGTGTTGAGGCAGGAGTGGATTGGGAGGTGGGCCCGCCTGGTTGTTGCTAGGGAAGGAGCGGCCGGGACGAGGACGGCAGGAGCACGAGTACCGGTAAGGTAACCGCCTCGAAACCAGATGGGGGCCACTATAATATTGAGAAATCGAGAGGAATCGCGAGAAAGATTCTGTGGTTACCAGAGGGACAGGGAGGGGATAGGGATACTGTTCATGAACAACATTTGTATTCCAGCCTCACAACTCAACTTGGGACTAGCAGGCTCAGGCTGACTGTAGGACATTGCTATAATATGGAAAGGACTGTGATAATCACGCCAGGACAGACAAACGAACAACACTCTTGGTCATTTACAGGTAATCAACGATCAAAGTAGACAGGTACATATAGAGGAACAGACGAATGTATATTGCACTCTCATTATATACACCAATACATCATTACGTTCCACAGCACCTCTTTCTTTACCTCGCTCAGTACCAAACTACTCGGCATCAGTAACCTTGATCTCGAACTCCCCGGTCAAAGACTGGTCGACCAGGACCGAGGCCGTCTGCACTCCATCCACATCCCTCTTCCTGCCAGCCCCAATAATAGTGACCTTGGTGATCTTGACATTCGTGATGTACCCAAAGCTCCCTGTAGCCGTCAACACGCCTTTCTTGTACTTGAACGTAATCAACGACGTGCCAGCCTGCTCCAGACTAACACCATCATCCAAGTACAGCTGGCCAGTAGCCGTCCCGTCTGCGCCGACAGGAACGAGAAGCTCAAAGTCCTGCTCGCGCAGTTCCGCCGTGGTCATGGTTGATCGGACGCGCGCCGGTACAATAACACCGCCACGCAGGAACAGCGGGATGTCGCTGAGCCCTTGGTTCTCAATGTGGATGGTCGCGCCACGGCCGCGGACGGTTTTATGGGTGTACCAATCGTAGAAAATGTCATCGGGCAGGTAGACGTCGACGCTCGTACCGTTTTCCTTTGTGACTGGCGCGACGAGGAGACCGGGCCCATAAAAGTATTGAAGTTCGAGGCCAAAGGTCTTGGGGTCGTGCGGGTAAAGGTAGAACATAGGGCTGACGAGGGGCGTGCCGTCCAGAGTTTGCCGATGCATCTCGGTGTAGATGTAGTCGAGCAAACGATACCGGATGTCGATGGCTTTGCGGGCCGACTCGGCGACGCTTTCCCACCGGTAGAACTCCTGCGAGATCGAAGGTGGGTATTCGTTGTGGTTGCGGTAGAACGGTGCGAAAGCGCCGAGCATGGCCCAACGCGCGCAAAGGATTTCGTTAGTAGAGCTGCCAAAGCCGCAGACGTCGGCTCCCACCATGGGGATTTGGTAAATGCTAGTGAAGGACATCACGCCGCGAATGGAGAGGAGATAGTGGTCCCAATCAGACAGGTTGTCGCCCAGCCACTTTCCGACCGACGCGCCGGCGCCGGCGAAGGTAGATCGAGTGATGATAAAGGGTCGAAGTTCGGGCCGCCTGTTCAACCAGGCCTCGCGGGTTTGGATCGACATCACTAAGGGCATTAGACATTTCATCAAAATAATACATAAAGAAGGAGAGAGGAAAGGGCGTACTCGATCCGTAAATATTGTGGACATCATACTCGGCCAATCCATTCTCGTGGATGATGTCCGTCTGGACAGTCTTGTTGGAGAGACCACCATGTTCGGCGTTCCAAGAATCCAAATAGGCGGCCTTGTTATGGATGGAGTACTTGGGGAAGAGCAAATCCCGACCCGGAAGTCCCTTCCACTTGCTGCTAGTGTCTCTCCGCAGAGTGGCAGGCACAGCGCTAGCAGGCGCCTTGGGAGCAACATCACGAGCTTCCGAAGCGCCAGCACCCAGCGTGTTCTCACTGCGCTTGCAGTCCGTGCCCTCAGGCTGGAACTCGCACGGAAACCCAGGAATGGGACGCGGAGAGTGGGATCGCACAGCAGGCGGCTCAGGGGGGTACCCGATCGCTGTGGTAAAGGGGTCATCGCAAGGGAAAAAGCAAGGGAAGGCAGAGGGCTCATTCATGTCAATCCAGCTTCCATCGATGTCAACGCCCGTGTCCTTGTCAAAAAAGCGGGCGAACTCGCCGTTCCAGTACTGGGAGATGTTGGCTGCGAACCAATCCGGGAAGACAGTCACTCCGGGCCAGACGACGCCCAGCCACTCCGAGCCGTTGTCACGCTTGAGGAAAACGTCTTGCTCAACTCCATGCTCGTACCCAATGTTTTCCGAGTAGGAGACAGCAGGGTCGACCATGACGATATATTGCTGCTTATTAGCGTGGAGGGTGTCGATCATGGACCGCATCAGGGAAATAGGGAATCGATCGGGGTCATTGGTGAAAACCTAACGTCTTGTTAGCAGGTTGCTAGTAAAGGAAAAGGGGCCGCTCATGATCATGGTTGTTGCTTTGTGTTTTTGTTTACTTGAAAAAGGGGCTAAATCGATAAAAGCGGGCCCGGTAAAAGCTGGGGCCGATGAGATGTTGTCTTCCTTGTCCCGCGATGCCCAGACTGGGGGTTGGTACGGGGTGTTTGCGCCAGCCCAAGGTCCGCGTAACGCAACGAGGAGAAGAGAAGAAGCTAGGAGAAGGGAAGGCGTGGCAGACGAATAAGAGGAAGTATAGGACATGTATAAGAAAGGATGAGACAAAAGAGACGAAGAGAATAAAACAAGAGACGGAGAGAGGGGAAAGGTAGAGAAAAAAGCGAAAAAGAGAGCTCACCCTCCGCCTATCCATGTAATCGATATCCGTCCACATCGTCTCGAGCGGAATCTTAGCTGCGCTGTAGTTGGCCACCACTTCGGCCACCTCAAACACATCGCGGTACCCATATCGGCAGTTGTGAAACCCAAAACCCCAGTACGGCACCATCGCCGGCGTGCCGACGATCTCCGCATACTGACGCGCCACGTCCACAGGGCCCGGGCCAGCGACAAAGTACAGATCCAACACACCGCCAAGCGTGTTGTACTCCAAGTACTGCTGCTTCTTCTTGCCTTTCCCGTCCTTGTCGATCTTGATGTCCATGCCATTCGAGTTGAGCAAGAACACGCCGTGTGTCCCACCACCGGCCGTGGTCCTGTGCTCAAAGTAGACGGGGTGGTTGCCATACAGGTTGCTTCCCTCGGGTGTGCCGAAGGCGTCCTGGCTCCACATGGTGCGGACATAATCGGTCGTGTTGAGGCGGAAGGGGTCGGAGTGCTCGCCGAGGCCGTAGAGGTTGGGGTTTGTGGGAAGCTTGGTACGCAGGCGCACGTATTGGGACTGGAAGACGAGCTGGGCCGCGGAGCTGTCGAAAAGGACTTCACCGGTTTTGGTGCGGGAAACGGAGAAGGAGAAAGGGTTCTTGGTGTACTTGAAGGAAAGAGCGGATTGCTTAGGGTGCACACCGTCGCCCTGGGGGCGCGGAAAGACGGACTCGGGGACCTGGTAAACAACATCATCTTGATCCTGGATCTTGACGTGAAGGCGGTTTTCTGTCATCGCACTAGGTCAGCTTTCGAGTCATACCACCCGATTATTCGAATCGAAAGGGCTTCAATCGACACCACCGACACCACTGACCATTCTCGTACGTCACCTCCAGCCTCAACTTCTCCAAGTCAGTTCCATACGTGTTACACGGCTTGCCCGCCAGCTCCAGATCGGCAGTGAGACCCGTGGCGCTGGTCTTGACGTGCGACGCCTTGTATCCGGGACACTCGCTCAGGGGCTTTTCCGTCGCGCGAACATCGAGCGTTTGCACAGCCGAGCTGATTCCGGCAAGCGCCAGGCCGACAAGGCCGACGAGACGAGGGCCGACAACCATGGTGGCGCGGGGGTTGGTGCGAGGGGCTGGTTTAAGCGGTGGTGATCGCGATGCTCCAAGATCGTGAAACATGTGGGAGCAGAGCGGCGACCCAAGTATTTATGCACAATCATGATTCTATCCCAATGGAACGGTCTCGGACCGACAAGTGTGGGATTCAATCATCGTGTTTGCCTCCCTGTGTTGCCGATCCTACCCCAACATCGCAACGTTCCAGTTCCCAGGACGCAGGTTGCCCGCTTCCGCCAACCCGACCTGCCGACCTGCCGTCCTACCTATCGAGCCCACCCCAGGTTCCCCGGGCTCGATACCCTGATGAAATCTGGCCATGCATGGCATCGGGCCGTACGGAATACCAAATCACCGACTAACGGGAAGGGCGCACGCTGGGATGATGGATACCGGGGTTTGTCGTCCATGTGATCAGGTCCAGGAGAGGAGAAAATAGCGAGGTTCTCCGGAAATACTTCTTTTTGCTAGTTATTTGGCCAATTGATACCGCCATGGCCGAATAGTTGGACCAAAGAGAAAAATAAAAGGGCCGTTTGAGACACACCAGCCTTCTTGGCACCACTTTCAAAGGTCCAGAGACCCTTGAGAATCCTTGTTGTCCGACCTTGTCATGATCTCCTTCCTTTCCGAACGAAAGCTTCTCCAGCTTCCACGACCCCAGCGAAAACACAGCCGTTTCCGGCGTTCCCCAGCTCTCCTCCAAAACTCCCCGCAAATGGAGGATACCAATTGCTCGCAAGAAACCTGGTCCAATGCCGGGCGGAATGCACAATGTCGATTTCGGTCCCCACCTTCTCCCCGCACCTCTCCGATTCGCCGTTCCCATTGGCCACGCCGCTGCTCCCCCGCAGCCCGCACCCCTCAATTGCCCGACCTTAAAGTTGCATTGGGAGCGGGGCTAACTTTCTCGACTGCTGGTTGTTTCCCCGTCTCCATCTCGGCCCGACAAACATCCAAACAGACTCCGACTCCCATGCTCGAAGCAAAGGGGGCCAGGCTAACATGCTAACAAAAAGTTGAGGGAATCGGGGAAATGGTCCACTCTTCGGAGGCGGAGAAAACGACTCCAACTTCGAGAAGGAATTTTTAAGGTCAAGAAATTCAGTCAAGTCTGACCAAAGAACGGGTGTTCGGAACGGCTGAGTTGTTGGTAAACATGGGATGAGGGGATGGAGAAATTCGGGGAATCAGGGTGTACGGACCGGGATGGACTGAGTGACGTCGAGGGTGGGCAATTGAGAGAACGGCAGAAAACAAACCAAGTCAGAGGACAACAAAAGTACTGACAAGAGAACCACCTAATTAGTTGACAGGATCGTGATGGAAACTACTATTAAAATATAAAAACAAATAGAATATTAAGAAGCGGTCATTTTGTAAAATGACATGGGCAAATCGAAGGGAATAGAATGAAGATGGAAACTTTGAAAGCCAAAGCAAGAGGCCGCAGTTAGAAGAGCTGCAGACGGAGCGGGAAGGATGAGACGGAAAGCCAAAGACAATTCAATAGCCAAGGGGAAAGGGGGGCGGTGAAGCTGAACCTCCCACCCCCCATCATAAAATGGCAATGCTCTCTAAATCGCCCATGGGCCGTCGATATAGATTCCATGTGCTTGAAAGCGGACTTACAGGTGACAGTGTGAAACAAAAACATCATATAAAACAAGCGACATGAAGCAGAAAATGAACAGGTAAACACAGTATAGATCCATATAAAAACATATTTACAAACAACCCTGTTACTCCATTGTTTCCCCTAACGCAAGTAATCTCGCGCCCTTTAACCAAGGGTGCTGTCCTCTTTGCTGTAACACGCCATTTTCCCTGTCCCGAGATAGGTACCTCTTCCAAAATGCTTCCCATCAGACTCTGGTTCATAACAATCATTTTTCCATAAACAGACATAATCCGCCACCTAAACAATCAGATAATCAACCCGTGTCTTTTTGTTTTCACCACCCGTTTTCACCTCACCTCAATCAACATCCATGCTGTCCCCAAGAGATACCGGTAACGCCACAGTAATCGAAGGGTCATCATCTTCCTCCGTCTTTCCCCTCCCATCCGAAGCAACCTTTCCATTGCCATTGCTGTTTCCATGGCTGTTGAGATTATTGTGGTGATGATTCTCCGAGCCCCCGCCCATACCATTGCCCGGACAAAGCTTATACCCCGCCTCCCCCTGATCCTCAATAATCCCCTCCTCTAACGCCCACGTCGCTAGGAACCGATCGACCCCTATCCTCCCGGCCTCGCCCTTCTCCATATGCCTTCCAACATGCTCCGTCCACTCGTCCCAAGACGTCGGTCCTTCAAAGACACTCTGGCAATCGGGCTTCGGGCACGCTGAGCGCTGCGGTGGCAATCGTCTCGTGACGAGGCAGGTGGTCTGCATATCCTTGACGTGATTGTCCCATTCAGCTTGTAATTTGTTGTCGCCCTTGGGTAACGGCTTTTTGATGGCTGGTGGCGCGTGCATGCGGCGGAGGTGCTGCGTGAACAAGTCCTTCCGGTTGAACTCGTTGCCCTTACCATCTGCGCTGCTCTGTGGACACTCGGAACAACGATAGTACTGTAGACATAGGTGCTGGGAAGAGATGTGTCGCTTCCACTCATTCTTAGACCCGAAGGTGCTGCTGCACCCAGCAAAGGAAAATGCGCAGGGAAATGGCCTCGTATGGGCAGCGGCGACGTGCTTACGGAGCGACGAGGAATCCTTGAAAGGGGCATGGCTGCAATGGTCGCACCGAACTTCTTGTTTCGGTGTCTGCTTCTGCAGTGGCTTTCTAGCTTTGGGCTTTATTGGGGTATTCGTGTTGCTGTACTCGGTGTCGTAAACGGCTCCGTCTGCGCCTGATGCCGCGGCTTCGATCAACGAGCCAGGATCACCCGCGTGCCGGACAGCGATGCTGTCTCCTACCCGCGTCGCCTGCTGGCGGTCTAGTGTTGCTGATGTGTCGCTCCCCATGTGCCGGACATGGCTCAACGCTTTCAGCTGCTCGGCGGCCTCCTGCATTTCGGCCGAGTCTTCTACCTCGTCTTTAAGGCCAACAGGGGGCGTTTGGCTTGGGCTATTTCCGATGGGTATCGGAGGCAGAGCGGCCACCACTGCTGGGTGAGTCCCTTGTCGTCTGGGTGTATCAGCCGCGTGAGGGTAGTGGTTGGAGCTGTCGCTCCGGTGAGGGGATGGGCTGCGCTTAAGTCCACGACTGCGGCTGCCGTCATCAGTGTCCCGGATGCCGTGGATGCCGTTGGGGTGAGAATTGACGAGACGCTGGTAAAGGTGGGTCATGTTATGGGAGCTAATGTACCCCAGGAAACAGCACACCTTGTCGTGCTGAACAACGTTCCAAACGTTGAGGGGCATGGAGATCAACAGCATCGTGGGCGGGCCTAGGAACATGCCCTCGACGGTGATTTTGGAGGTTGTACCCGGCATGTCATGCAGCCATTGGTTGAAAAAGGTCATCTCGGGGCTGGCGTCGCCAACAAATGTGGTGCATACGAGCGCCCGTTGCTCATCCAAAGTAAGATCAATGACTTCATCCGGATTCAACGGCCGGTCCTCGGGTTTCGTCCTCCACCCATTTTGTGTCTCGTCCGCTGAGTGGGGCGGCGACTGTAGCTGCGCCGATTTGGGATCGAGGGGCACCAGAATGATTCCCTGGCCCTTTGCGGGTGTTAAAGTGAAGAAGGCTGGAGACTTTTCCGGCGCGGATGTTGGTTTGCTGGGGGATCCGTTCGTCGACCTCGCGCTCTCTTGTTGTCTCTGCTGACGGATGTCGTCGTACAATTTTTGAACACTAAAGGGTCGGCCGGAAGAGCCGAGTTTGTGTAGTGCATCGGATAGTGAGGCCGTGAAAGAGCGCGGCCCTGGTTCGAACGGGGCCTGATCGGGGGTATACGCAGCAATTGCCTGTTTAGCGCCGTGGCTGCCAGCCATTGGCGCATCGCGGACCGCGCAAGAATCGAGGAGAAGTAAAATTTCTGACTGAGCATCTTCGAACAGACACCGAACGCCGTCCCATTTCAGCTTGGCCGCATCCTCACGCGAATGGCTAGGTAATCAGTCAGCACCTGGCCCAACGGCCATGGTAGCAAAACCCATTCCAATTGCACTCACCAAGCCCAGTACAGCTGGTTATCCGGCCCGACGTAACCATATCCGGCATAATATATGATCAGCAAGTGGTCCGGTCGCGCATTATCGAGAAAGGAGGCCATCTGCACCCCAAGCTTTATGCTCGGGTTTGGAACGGTCGGAATCGCCCACCGGTCGGTTTGATAATGGTATCGCTCGCGGAACACGCGTTCGAGCGCAAGCAGATCTGGTTCGACGGACACATCCTCCTCCCATCGCAGTAGCAACACCGAAACGCTGGTGTGCTTGGGTTTCAGGGTCTGCTGTTGGATATGTATCGCCGCATCTTGGAGATGGCGAGCGAAAGCCTCGAACTCGTTTCCTTCTGGTAATCGCGGGGTGGCCTCGGGGCGGGAATAGTGCTGTGGAGGAGCGGCCTAAGGACCGGAAGGAAATGTAGTCAGTAAGCGAGTCTCCTCCGAGAGTGGGAAGCTATCAAAGGGTAACGGCGCACCTGGTCTTGAGGGAAAGCAGGGGTCGGAGGTTGGGCTGGTGTTGGTGCTGTTGGGGAGATCGCGGGAACACCCGTCGGTTCGGGGACCTTTGGGGCGAGCCGCCGGCGTTTTGAAGACGGTTCCATCGGTTCGCGGTGCTAGCGAGGGGCGGCGGTCAGGCGGTATGAGTAGGGAGAGGGGGGGTGTGTTGGGACTGTTGTAGGAAAGGGATGTTCGGTTGGTTCGTCTCGTCGGGTCACCCGTCGGCCTGGTGTGCGATGAGGTGCCCAAGTAGGTCGCGGCGACCAAATCAGGTAGGGTCCAACAATGAGTAGGGTAGGGTATTCCAGGGACGTGGAGTATCGCAGGATTGCCCGGCCGGTGGGCTGCAGCAAGAAGTGCAGTTTGGGGCAGATTTTCCCTCGCTCGGCCGTTTACGCAACACAGTATGGAAATAGAAAGGGAAAATCACCCAACAGAATCAAGGACGGGCACAGCAGCACGTTAGAAGGGGAATTGGGAAGGGAGGGAAGCACCGGGGGCAAAGGAGGAACGGTAGCCAAGTGAGAGTGAAACCAGAGCAACAGAGTTGTGCGAGGCCAAATGGGGACAAATCGAGGCCAGACCACCGCAGACGAGGGGGCGGGCAGCACCAGCGAGCGGGATGGTGGGAATGAGAGTGGGCGTGGGCGACACGGGCTCGCAGAGAGGGTAAGGCTGTGCTAAGCTTGCGTCGAACCACTCGGCTCTGAATTAGCCTCGTGGCAGGGCCATGACGCGACATGATTGGCTGGCCTGTGCGACTCGGCTTGCCTTCGCCCCTGCACAAGAGAGAGGGGAGAGAGGGGCTGACAGTCCGGCCTTGCAGCCACTCACAACTGCCAGATCGAATCCAGAGTGCCAGACGGCTGGGGTGCACGGGCCATGATACAACCAATGACCGCTTTGACTGGCTCGGCTGGCCATGAAAAGCCTGGTCCCGCCTGCCCACTTCCGCAGCCGAATGTTTGGGGTGTGAGTTGCCAGCGCGTGCTGCCGTCCATCCGGCGCTTCTTCTTTTAGGTTTCAACCCACTTAGGTCAAGGTCCAATTCGCCCGGCCACATAAGTTAGTCTCATAGGTAGTGTACATTGAGAACTTGGTTGAATTAATGCTCACCTTGTATTTCGTTCTCGTCCGACTTTGCTGGCCTTGGGCCTCTTCTCACCATCGGCTCGGCCTCCCCGCTTTTGTATCCTCCTTATTTCCGAGCTTCTTGTTTTATCCCTCGGCACGGACCGATTGTGTCTTTTTACTTTCTCAGCGTCACCTCGCTTCCGAGCTTCTCCCATTCCTGCAACATCAATTACTACATAGTACGCAGTAACAGCGTGCTCGGCTTTTGTCCCCCGCCCGTCTCGAGACGAGTCGGCCGGAGCGACGAGGTCTCGCCAGCGCAGCCCATCTTCTAAGAGCAAACCTCGCCATTGCAACTTGGCAAACACAACGGCACCATTCCGATAGAAACGCAGCAGCCCGATCAGTCCCCCCGAATTGAGTAGCATCCATGCGTTTCTGCCCAACCCTTCTTGCTCTCCTTCACCTCGCCGTCCGACTTTCATTCGTGTGTTGTTTCCCTTCTTTGCCCTACTTGGTATCCCCCCTCTTCCTTGTCTCGGGACCCTCTGCTTCCTCAGGCCTGCCCGTCGGTGGGCGGGACGAATCAGACGCAGGATCGGGTCGAGAGAACCAGAGCCACGCACCGCAAGGCCGAGTCGGAACAAGCGCTGCATTAGCAAGCCGTCACCCCATTGGAGAGTTGTCAGCCTTCTGCAGCTCGGTGCTGCAGCTGTCATTGGCACGATCCGCGGGCCACTTCATCAAGTCCTCTCCCCCAGCGCTCCACTCATGTCGGTGGGATGGCAATGGATTGCCAATGGAAGGAGAGCACGGGAAGGAGGAGAGAGAAGAGGGGAGAGGAAGGTTAACCCAAGAGAGAAAGAAGTTCCTAGCCGCTTCTGATTTGACACCTCGCTGCCCTCATCCGCCCGTGTTTCTCCTTCCCTGGTTTGTTGACGCCCTTGCATATTATGTCGCGGGATGTCTTAGATGGCCGCCTTCACCGGAGCACCGCGGGATTCCTTCGGTGAGCTGCCGAGCAGAAAGCTTTCGGGGAGGTCCGACGCTGGTGTCACTCCTCGATCAACTTACTGTTGACGAGAGTTAGTCATGGCGAGGCTACAAAATACAGCCACCGTCCAGAGACTACTATGTCATGGACGAATCGGCTTCTACGCATGTCCATCTGCACATCCATACCCGGAATGCGAAAGACAGCATAGACTTGCTTCCGTTAGGACGGACTGCATGCAGGACGAGAATTTTGTCCTGGCCGCGGTGTCCGCGGGTCCTTGTCGAGCAGAGTTGACCTATCGCAGCACTCTCCACGCGAGTGATGAAGCTGAGCAAGTTTGGCCCTGATAGAACTCCGATGCAGCAGATCGACCAAGGATGACACGCATAACAACACTGCAACTTCCCCCGACGTTTAGTCGTCGCCTTGGGCTGTATTCCTAGGCTTACGAGGGATCACGGTTGGGCACCTTCAACGATGATCGATGAGTATTAGGACGGAATGGGTATTGACTTCCTCGAGGTCGATAGCCACAGTCCGCCATGAAGAACAACGAAAAGGATGATGTCTCAGACAGTCTCGTTGTCCTACAATAGCGGCAACTACAAGCCAACCCTCCGTGTGCCGTGAAATGTTCCCCCACAACATCCATCAACAGACCCTTATTTCCTAGCTAAAACATACATGCACCTCAACTCACAGCACACACCCCTCTACCCCCTTACTCCCCTCGCTCCCTCACATCACCATCCTTCCCACCACCCCCGGCCAACCATCTCTGCAACCTCCCCCCAGCCTCCACCACCTCCCCGCCCACAGCCCAACTCTCCAAGCCCATCTGAAACAAACAAATATTCATCACCCCCTTCACAAACCGATCCTGCGGCTGCGCGCCCGCGCCGCCCCCCGAGACCAGCGGCAGCAGCACCCAGGTGAACACGCCGAGCAGGGTGCGCCAGGTCGAAAGGGGCACGCGCCAGGCGGTAGTCCAGAGGCGGAGGAAGTGGGTTGTGGTGACTGTCTTGCTGAAGGGGAGACGGTGTTGGATGGTGTGGGTGTAGAGGAGTGCGGCGAGGCGGATGGTTTGGTAGATGGGGTCAGAGTGGGGTGAGGGGAGGTTGGAGGTGGTGGGTGGCGGTGAAGGGGGGTGTTGTTGGTGTTGTCGTTGTTGTTGCTGTTGTGATGGTGGTGGGTGCATATTCTCAGATGTCTTCCCATCCCAGCCTCCTGAGCTACCCACTGATTTCCCTTTCGCCCCAGGTGCGTCCTCTGGCAATCCTGAGACGCGCTCATATAACCATGCCGATGTGGTATGTATCTTCTGCAACTCCTTGGTTGTCGGTGCGTCCGGCAGGGCAAGTACAGCGGCCAAGAGAAACCGCATATCATCGAGGATTGAGGCCGCCGAAGGTTGGATGTGGAGGGCGTCGGCGCAAGAAGCGAAGCGGACGGGGTTGGGGATTAACGGGGTATTGAGAGCAAGACGGAGCGGGGCCGACGATGTGGCGGTGGTATCGCGAAATTCGAATTCCGGACCGCCGCGAAGGAAGGGAGGTGTTTCGAGGGAGAGCGCTATGGCGGCATCGACGCTAGTAGGTGTCAGCATATGAGCCCATTGAAGAGCAATGTTGAATGTGCAAATTGTGTAAGGGAAAAGGGGGTGAATACGTGATAGCCAGCTTGGTCAGTAAACCATGCAGCCCGAGTGACCGAAACCCCCCACGAGACCATATCATATCCCGGAGCCCTCGCAGATGTGCTTTCAGGTCTTTGGCGCTTCCCCAGAGCCTAATTATATTTTGTTTTTCCAAGTCAGCCAGGGTTACCCCTTTTTCACCTTGGCCCGCAATTTCCAGGCACACTTACCACTCATCCAGTACAATCTGCAACACACCCGCGATGACCTCGTCACTAGCCGCCGCCTGCCCTTGCGCCCGGATATGCTCGTTCAGCAGCGCGATCACTCTCCCTTTATGGGCCATGGCCGCCGTGCGTTCGATGTGGCCGGTATCAGTCAGGAAACAGGCAGCCGAATAGATGGCTACGTGTGTGAGCAAGCGAGAGCTAAGGCAGTGCGGTAGGTAGTGCTTTAGGTAGGGGTTCGACGCGTCGGGTTTGCCATCGAGGGAGGCGGTGAATTGGGATATGAAGTTGATGACTGGGAGGTCACGGCAAGCGGGGGTTCTGGGTTAGTTTAGAGGACGACGAAGTTGGTAAGGGACAAACCCCCCTAGAAAACAGGTAACTCACACACCGATAATAGATCTTCGTCCTGCATGGCCGGCGTTGCCGGTAATCCAGCAGTAGACATTGCAGCTGGAACACTAGCAGCGGACCAAGGGATATTACATTGCTGCTGGTGATGTGGTGCTTGGCCCGGACCCAGCGCGGGCACCAACGTCCAGGCGCTGTACCCCTGAGTCCCACCCTGATTCCATCCTGCGCTGCCGTTATAGCCCCTGTCACCACTTCCCCATGCCGTCGACCGATACGCCTGCATCATCTCGATGGATCTGTGCACCTCCTCAGAGTGCGCCGAACACCCCTCTTCGCAGGCTACGACGGACATGGAAAGGCTTTGCTGGTCGGTGCTCCAGGCATATTGGCCACCCGGAGAGAAGGGATTTGTTGAGAAGGAGGGTTGGGGCTGCTGCATTTGTGGATGTGGCTCGTGTGATGGGACTTGGTCGAACGGATCCAGACCGGACCAGCCCGTCAGATTTGGGGATGCTGCGTTTGGGTCGTCAATGGTGCGTTGTTGTTGTTGCTGCTGCTGCTGCTGCTGCTGAAGTTGTTGTTGCTCCCATGATAGAAAGAAGGGGGATTCTTGTTGATGGAGAAGCGGCTGCCGCTGGGGATTAGCAACAAACACGCCGCTTCGTTCTGAGCTCGGCGGCGATAAAGAGACGGAAAACGCTGGTCGCTGTGGTGCGCCTACTCCTCCCGAACGTCTGTCTCCCACTTCCATGAGCAAAGTTCTGGGCTTTCCTTGGTGCTTGGTTGACTCGGTGGGTGATGACTGGAAACGGAATTCCGGGATAGACTCACCTGCCATTGGTCTTGTACTCGCAAGCGGGCTGGGGGAAACGTCTAGCACAGTTGCTGCATGGTTGCCCTTGATTACACTAATCAGGTCGTCGAAAATTAGCAGTTTGCTCCTGGATTGCAACTTTAATACAAAAAAGTAACAATTAAATAGAATAGACGCGAAAAGTAAATAAACGGGAAGAAAAGATAACTCAGACACCCAACTGCAACATACCTTCTGCTTCCTCCTCCTACATTCCCCGCACGACGTGGTCGTGCGTTCAGCACGTGGAGGCCGTGAAGCAACGGCCGAGGCCGGGGCCGGGGCCGTAGTGGCGGGCTGCATTGGTTCGGACGTTGTTGGTTTCGTTGGTAGAGCAGCCATGTTTGTTCAAAGAAGGGGTTTCTCCCGAAGCGGCCTGTATAGGCCGAACAGACAAAGTAGGTCGCGGTGGGTTGGTCGTAGGGCTGACTTATAACCGATCGAACGGGACGAGGCTCTCGGGAGCCTTGGGGGGTCGGCAGCCAGGGTAGGTGGTGGGAAGCTAACCAAGCCGGAATATGTGAGGCGTCGGGTTTGTGGTGGCTTAAGACTCCTAGGATGGGGGGTATCTGATGATATCCAGCACCGTAAAGGAGGCCTCAGATCTATTGTTGCGTCGTCCTACAACAGACAAGCCGGTCGATAGACGAAACGAGGGGAAGGGGATACGATAGGTCGCTAGGCTCCTCTCCGTTTGGACTGGTCCTTCTCAGGCTGCTCGCTGCTGGGCTGCCGACTGTTTCTGGAAACGAGAAAAGGCGGCGCTACACTGCTCCGCCCACATAGTAAGCTTAAATCTCGCCTCGGCAGTAAGGGAGGCAGGGGGTGGCCAGGTGGCTTGTTTAAATGCGGCGCAGGCCAGACGCTGCTCATGGCGAGACTAACTGGAGGACAGGGAACGAGGCATTAAGGGCTGAGAAGCTGGAGCCGAACCCGATTAGCTGGTTACGAGCATCATGCCTGGCGGGAGGAGGCTCTGCTCACGGCCCCGCGTAGGGAATCTAGTTCAGATTCTGGCTCGAGTTCGGGGTAAGTTCTAGGCTCACTTACCGACGATAACCACGGCACTTTTGCCTCGCGTGGGGTGGCGGTTCCTAGTGTATTGCTTTAATTCCCTCGCACCTCTAAAGGGTACGTGGCTCTTTTTTCTTCTTTCCCAAATTCTTTTACCCTTCTCCCGTAATCAAGATGGATGCATACCACAATAAAAGAGGGATTTCCACCAGAACCAACCGTTTGCCAAGATATCGAGGGGAAACTGGGGGCCGCAACTTGCAGGTTCTTACTATGTATGTGGTCTGATTCCGTTTGGGAATTGGGATTAAGTGTTAGACGCGACTAATGTCGCCTTTGGCTAGGCGAGTCTCGAACCGCCAGTATTAGTTAGCTAGATATTGGCAATGTTCCCCAGAGAGGAAAAAGGGCAAAATACCACGGGATGCGGCCATGGATGGACGCGAATGAGTCTATTGAAGCAGACCCCAATTTAGAGTTATTGGGAATGGACGACCACTATGCCTTAAAAGGAACCATAACCCGAGGGAATATTTTTCCAACTCACAACTCAAAGTCACGATAATGATACCTGGTCACTAAAAAAAGAATGTACCAGTCACCCGATCGAGCAATACCTGCGCGCGTGGTTGCACCAAGCCTTTTTTTCACCCGGGCCCCGCCCATCTAGCGGCTATGTGGTCCACGCAGTTGGTATCCGGGACAGTGGTAAGAAACCTGGGGTGAGAGAGGGGGGGCAACGGTCCAGAGAGTCTGGACCTCTCTCCTGAGTCTCCTCCAAGGGAACAACAAGGACAGTGGGTGATGTCGCGGAGACGGGGGTCCAGTCATGATCCAGCCCAAGCCGCCGGGGGGGACTTCGCCTCCTCTTTCCGATAGAGAAACGAGAATCAGTCAGACGTGAGACGAGCTGATCATGCGTGCATGCCACGATCGAAGAGAAAAGGAAGAACCTGGTTGCCTCGTGGGATGTGTGGTTGAGATCCCGGGAACAAGCCAATAAAACGCGAATCGAGAAAAGGAAGAGTAGAATACGTATTTTCCTGCCCCTGGCATCCTCATAGGTGGTTACCCATTTGGGGCCCAGGTTTGGAGTTCTGCTCAAGACGTGAAATGGGCGGACATGAACGGGGTCGAATTACTTCGTATTGCGCGGCTGCGGAGCGTTCGCTGATGAGAAAATAATTGGCGGCCATCCATGACTGGACAGCGTGGGGGAAGTCCCAATTCGCAGGGGCGACAATGTCGTGTACACTATTTCCTGGACCGCTTCACTTGACCCCTAAGTGGCGCTCGCCCACAGTTGGAAACAGACGATAGTTACCAGGAGCCTGGGCCACGCCGATGGGCGTTGAATTTAAAATGTCAACGTTATCAAGCGGGAAGTTTATCGAATCTCGAAAATCGAAAGCCCCCAACAAGGGTCCACCCACACGGGCCGGCCAGGCTAACAGGGCCCAGTGATTGGTTGGCTTGGCGAGGACGGGACGGAGGTTGGGTCTGGACCGGTCGGTGGAACAAAGGCTGTGTGAGCTGGTCACTGGTAGCTGGAATTCTCGTGGAAGCTGATAGTCTGAGGGGCTTACGCAAGAGGGGAGTGATGATGGGTAGGACTTGTGATTTACAGGAGTGACAGAGTATCAAGAGATCGACGAAAAAGGGAACTTTGGGCAGGGGCAAAATGACAACTCGTGCTCGGAACTTCGACCCACAACAATTATAAGAGGCGAAATTCAGTCGTGGTTTTAAAACATGGTGGTTTATTCGTAAAACAGAACGGAAACCTGGAAAACTACAACCCTCATTCACGCCCCTTTGGTATCCCCATGCAGACTGACATAACCCCCTTAGTTCAAACTCCATGCGCCTATATCCTTAGATCAAGCCTCCTTCTCTAAACCAAGGGATGGGGATATATGTTAAGAGGATGAAAGATGAAAGGAAGGGAAAAAAAAGAAGAAATCCGGGATATCATTCGTCGTGAGATCGTAAAAAAAAAAGCAGCCATGTCCCAAGACTCGAAACCCAGAGCCAGCAAGCCACCGCAAAACACAACTATGCCTTATAATTTGGCTTCCGCGCCATGTTTACTGCCGGCGGCGCGTCATCATCTAGTGGGTATGGCAGTACCGGCGCCGACGACCGCCCAGGCCCTCCTGTCCTGTTTGTTGACAAGGGTGTCTTGGGTGGTAATGGTGGCGGGACCGAGGGTGACCTCCCTGTCCGCAGTGGCGCTGGCTGCATTGGGGAGTTGTGGCTGGCGTCGTAGCGCCTGGGGTGCTCATCGGCGCTCTGTATCGCAATCTTGTCCGTCCCCGCGGCGAGGCGGTATTGTGACGGGGTGGGCGCGTTGACGACGAGGCGATCGGAGTCGTCAGCCGCACTGCTGTTGCCAGTCGTTGGGCGACTACCTGGTGGGGCTTGACCTGTTGAAACCGAAGTTGCTGGGCTGTGGTGGTGGTGTCCCGTGGGGTGTGGTCCAGCGGGAAATGGCAGCTGATTCGGCTTAGGCGACTGCCGTGGGGGCTCGCCAGAGCTCCTGGGCGAGGGCGTGGTGGCACGCACAGGTAGAGTGTCGTTCCCCGATTCGTACGATGGCCGGCTGGACGGGGTGTGGACTTGCGGGCTGGTGGGGATATCCCCGGGTAGTTCGACAGCAAGGGGTAGCGAAATCTCGGGAACCGTCTGCGCGGCTAGGTCCGGATGTGACAGACTAAGACGCTCCCAACGCTGCTTGGCGAAATGGATCTTGGCTAGCTTCGCCGACGCGCCCTGAACCATTCTTTGCTCTTCGTCCCGGGCAAGGTAGCGCCGGGTGTTGGTGCTGATATCGGCCAGGCGGTTCCACTCATTCATGCCAAATTCGCCGACGCCAACCTCGACATTCCACCGGTAATAATTCTCGATGTTGACCCCGCGTTTCGCCAGGTGCTCGCGCTCCATGAACTCGTGGACCTTCTCACAACCCTCGATCTTGGCGATCAGCTTCCGCCGTGCTTCGGCAAACTCGCCCAAGAACCCTTCGTACCACATCGACGAGTTGGCGTCGCTCCCCTTTGGCCGCTTGCCGGTTCCGACACTGATGAACACGCCGACCTCCCGACCAGGCCATTCGTTGACGACCGCCTCGTCGAGTACTGTGGGGGATGGGTTAAAGTTGCCGGCACCGTCGTCATGGAACACCGACTGCCCGATCTGGATCGGTTTGAATGCAAGGCCGATGGAACATGTTGCCCGCCCAGCCTCCCAAATAGTGCAGTCGAACTCGGGGGCGGGCTCGCGCCGCGAGTCGTAGGAGCGTAGCATGGCGGGTGCGGCGCCTTTCGCCGAGCCTTTGTACACCGCGGTAACCGCACTGAGAGCGGGCGCAAAAAAATATGTTAGCAAAACGGCCCTAGGAGTGGGTTGGCGCATGGACAGGAAATGCTCACGTCTTAGTCCGCGCCTCGCGCTCGTCATACAAGCGAGCATTCGGGCTTCCTCCGCGGGAGAATACCGGTCGGGCGTGTTGCGCAGTTGGGCTTCGCGCACTGAAGCTCAACACGCTTGCATTGCTTGTATGCCTCTTGGGATACCCCGCGCTTGACCGCGAAGCCGGGCTCATCGGATTGTTTATGCTCCCAGCCTCCGACCCATCGTTCCCCTCCTTCTCATAGACCGTATGTTCCCTCACACACTCCTTGATGGCTTCCTCCAGCTTGGTCGCCTTGAACAGCGTCGATCGATAAGGAATTCCCACAATGGTCTTGTCGGTCTCGAATACCATCCGCGTCATGCGCACGTAGAGTTCCTTGCAGGTCTCGATGTCGAGGCGCAGGCGGCCCAGCATAATAGCGATGAGCCCACCAGTACCGGTGCCGACGATTAGGTCGAAGTGGTCGCAGGGCTTGGGAATTTCGGAACGTCTTGGGGCGCGCCCCTCCATCTCGACAAAGGTGCGGTGCATGAGTTCTTGGAGGATGAGGAACATGGAGTAGCCGCGCACGCCCCCGCCATCTAGGGCATGTTAGCAGGGTCCTCTGCGGCGTTGCGCGTTCGGAAACCGCATTCAAATCATTTTTTTTCTTGAGTAGAAGATTGCAAAAAAGCCGACGCACCTAGCGACAGAATCCGCAACGGCGGACCCTTTGTCGTGTCTTTCCGTTTTAACCCTGTTGAGTCCATATCGTTCATTTGTGTGTATGTAGCTATGCCGCCGGGCGTGACGGCGATGGTGTAGTGTTCGCGACGGGCAGCCAAAACTGTCGTGGTGAGAATACCGAACCTTCCGTGGGTCCTGACGGAGGCTTTGCGATTTGATGATGTTGAGTTTGCCGCGGGGGCAGGCTTGGCAAAGGCGGCCGCCGGCTAGGGTGGTACCTAGCTCGAAGGATGGTGACGCAGGAATCTTGAGCTAAACAGGTAGCGATCAGCTACACAACCAACAGACGAAAGTCCAGGAGGCTGGGAACATTCAGGCAAGAGGAAGATGTTTGAGTGTAGGAGTTACAAAGCAGAGCAATGTGACGCGAGTCAGAACGGAAGCTCGTACAATATGTCGAGGGGCGGAAACCCGGTTCCGGGCGGCAGTCAAAGCCAAGCGAGGCAATTGTGGCGGTGTCGAAACACCGCGTCCGGGCACCCGGATTTCACGCGACGCCGACTTAGCGCTTCATAGCAGCTAATCAGGAGCCTCAGATCTCATCCGCGTCGCTGCGTGGGAAACGGAAAGACTATCGGGAGTTCCGACGAGGTGGGCCTGGCATCTGGTGCCCCACAAACCAACATTGCCGGACCCGAGGTTTGTGGGCTTCCAGGTGACAAAGTCCACTAACTAGGACTTGGGTTTCCCACTGAAATTCAAAATCCCATCATCCTCTGCTCTCGGGAGTGGCGGTCCTCTCAGCAGCGACAGGCTCGTACGCCCCTGAAACAGTGAGCAGGCCGCCAGTCGCCCGGTCACAGGGAAACGTCAGCTGGCTCTTGACCGGTCGTTGATTTGATGCCATGCGAGCAACCTCATGCCAAAAAAACAGAGCGCGGGCCGCGTTGTGGCTGTGCCTCGTGCGCAGATCATTTTGGCATTTGACTCGGGAGCTCACTAGCCACATCTAAACAAGCACAGCCATAACTAACGAGCGCACGAGCCACACCAACCAACCCAATACCCTAACCCTGACACGCTGCTTCCGGCCGGGATGTCGACTTCGTTGGACGACGTCATCGTTCTCGTGGTAACCCATGTCAAAACACCAAGATTGCAACATCAAAGCGCCTGAAGCTGCCGGCCATTGCGAATCACGAGATGGCGCACACCATGGGCGAGAAGTGACATCTCCTTCCCCGACATTTCGGGTTACTACTTTTCCCCAAAAGTACCACCAGCGATCCATTACAGAACCCATGCCGGGAGAAGAATCTGGAGCTACTTGACAATTCACGATTGGCAATTCACAGTTGACGTCAACAAATCGGGTAATTGGCGACTAATTACCACCATGTTCTCCTCCTGCTTTGGCCTTGGTAGCCACCGGCGCCGTACCGCTGAGGAAGAGCCCCTCCTCCCCCAATATGACGACGACACCTCGCGGCAGCGGCGCCTCCACCAGAAACTGCACACCTACCAGATGCTGCGTGCCCTCGCCCGTGGCTTCATGCCCTCCAATGAGCAGGCAATCGTCAACTTGCGCACCCTGTTAGCCGCGGACCTTCTCAACCCAAATCACGGCCGGGATCATCATCTAAGTGACTCGGGGCAGGCGCTAGTACATTACACCAGGCAGTGGTTGGGGCAGTTGGTGGAGTTGTTGGAGCACAAGAATGCAGGAGATCAGATCCAGGATTTTCTGTGGTATCTATCTCAAGCGAGGATAAATGTGGATATGGAAGATATCGCTGAGCGGGCGAGCAAAGCGAAAGCGAAGGCTGACACGGTTGCCGGTACGTACTCGTAGGAATATAGTAGATCGTAGCGCGCCGAGTTTGTGGGGAGAGGGTATTATGCTGACGCGATGGGGATTAAGTCTACAGTGGCCTCCGGACAGTCGGCTCTCTATTGCTTACCAACTCTGACTTCCGCCTTTTTCTCGGCGACCTTGACGTCGTGACCCGCGAAGTCTTCAAAGATACGGCTTTTGCGCTATCCAGAGCCTCTCAGGAAGCCGGCGAGCGTCTCGAGCCCTCTACCGATGAACAGGCTGCGGCAAAAGGCAATGGATTGCCCAAGACGCCTACGGCGCAGGACTTGGCCGACCAGACCGAGGAGGTCTCGGACGTGTTGAACACGGCCGCTTCAACGGTTGCTAACGAGACTGGAGAGAGCGTGCTACAGAGGCTGGATGGTGCAGAGGGGGATACCATGGCTCGCCGGCTCCAACATGCCGTCGTGAACTTACGTCAACGACGAGACTATTCCGATTCGGTTTCGACGCTCTCGCTGCTGTTCAAGCGCTACGCCATGGCGTACTCTCGCGTCATCCGCGACACGGTGGACACGGCTGAGGAGGATGTAAACCGCAACCCGGAGACCGACCGGGCGTTGCGGAACTTATGGATGTTTGTCCGCTCATTTGGTGAAGCCAAGGAGTGGGAGGAACTGGAGAGGCGGGCACAGGCGGTCGTGGAGCATAGTCGCGATGACCCTGAGTTTGAGGACCTCGTGGGCAAACTAGGCGATGCCTTCCAAGAGATGTTTACGGATCCTGCCTTTTTTGACCACGCCGAAGAGCGCTTTCAGGAACTCCGAGACAAATCCAAAGCGTTGTCGTCCCACTCGTCTCTACGCGACGATGTCGACGGCCTGCTCTCTCAGCTACAGTCGACGTTCAACTCGATGCTCCGAGACCAGGATGTGGCCAAGCTCATCAAGACGTCAATTACCATCAGCAGGATTTTGTCGCCAAAACACCACTATGCCAACACCGAACTCCTCGAAGACTCGATCAATGTGTTTGCCCCGCTGGTGATCCAAGCCGTCAACTACATCCCCATACCACGAGTTGAGGTGTCCACGCCACACGTTGACCTCCTGCTCGAGAATCTGGTTTTGGAGCCCGGTATCACGATCAACCATACTTCCTTCTTCCCCTACAAGCTCCGCGTGGAGACACTCAACGACATTGAGATCCGCAAGGCCCGGTTCCGGACGACCTCCGCGATGCGAACACTCATGCGCGTCCGCATTGACGGCCTCTCCATTCGCGGTGAAGACATTGGGTTTTGGCTGCGCGCGCACTCGGGTCTTCTCCGCGTCGCCGACGAGGGGATCGCGTCTTTCGCCCTCGATGAACGCGGTCTCGACATCCAGCTCGACATCGAAGTCGGCCGCGACCGGCTCGAGAAGATTCTCACGCTCCGCGCGGTCAAAGTCCATATCCACAAGCTCAACTGGACCCTCCGCCGCAGCAAGTTCAGCCTCTTCGCCTGGCTTCTCAAACCCTTGCTCACACCCCTCATCCGGATCACCTTGGAATCCAAGATTGCATCCGCTCTCGCTGACGCCCTGCACTTTGCCAACCGCGAATTGATCTATGCGCGGGAACGCCTGCGCGCCACGCGCATCGCCGACCCGGACGATCTCAAGACCTTTTTCCAGGCCGTCCTTGCGCGGCTGACTCCTGCGGATGATCCAGATCTCTATACTCGTATTGGGGTGGACGAGCCTGGAAGGGGGACAACTGGGGGTGATGTGTTTGAGGGGGTGTATGCACCGGGGAGTATAGTCAAGGTATGGCGGGAGGAAGCAGCGCGAGCACCGCAGAGAATAAGGGAGGGTGAAGAAGAAGGGTGGAGGAATGCCGTTTTTGATGTGCAAACGGTACCTATGTAAGGGGGCCGTGTTTACTCGCGGTAGTACTCTAAGTTGGTTGCGCAACGGGGCCTGTGCGAATACACACAGGCGGTACGAACCTCCATGGATTGTTGTTGGCCCCTTTCCACTCCCTCCTTTTGTTTCCCTTGACGACCCGTTTGCCCTCCCAAACGCCCAGTAACAACGCTTATGTGAGTGATTACCCAATCCCACATCCAAGCAGGATTGATCCAGCCGTTCCTGTTCTGTGCCGTCCAGAAACCTTCGACAAAGTAACACCTCCAATGCCCACAAACTAACCACCGGTAGCATGGCCCCGTTTTGGGCCATCGCGGTGATGCAACACCCCAGGCCCGGTCTACCGACCCCCTTTTTGGCCGCTACCCATGACACCACCCATGAGATTTCCGGTTGATGCTAACAATACCTTATTGTTCCAGGAGCGGCGCAGGCAGCCAACCTTAATTGGGACGGAATGTTTGTTGATCCTTTTCCGGCATGTGTTGGTGCGGCACGACACGACGTGTAACGGCGGGCTCGGCCACGCGACCACGCGGCCAGGTGTGGAACTCGAAGAGGTTCCGCAAAGGAAGATGGAACAAAGAAAAATGAAGGAAAAAAACATGGGCCAGGAAAATGGTCGGCCGTGGCCCCCAACGTGTTGGAGGTATGTGCCGGGCTCACAGTCTTGACGCATCGTTGGTTTAGGAGAGAAACAAGCGATAAGGCCGCGGGTCGTTATTCGCACGACCACCCTCACACACACTCAACTGCCACATACCGATTCCGAGCACATATACTAAGTGCACGTAGGAGCGAAGATGGAACATAGACGTAGCAGCAAGGACATGGTATGAATCTTGATTTTTGGGTCGCGCGAGCTGGCCAGGCTAATTGGCTAGTTAGTTGAATCACGTTTGGGCGTTGGTGCCAGTTATGAAACCTAGTATTTAAAGCAAGCTCATTCTCCTATTCTCCCTTTGCGATACCCTATGCAAGTTTGATACTTTACTGTCTACCAAGAGTCCTCGCCGTTTAGAAGGCACCAACATTACACTCGACGCAGATACCAACATACAAGATATCAACAACCAAGCACATAACAACTTAGCGAGAACGAACACCAAACCTTCGTCACCATGCAGCTCATCGACATTTTCACCCTTCTCGTGCGGCTCGCCGAGCTTGCCTTCGCCGCGGTCGTTGCGGGCCTCAACGGCGAGTACCTGCGCGCAACGCGGGCCACCGACTCATGGCTGCTCGGCCGGCAGATCTACACCGAAGTGATTGCGGTCTTTGCGATGGTTACGGCGCTCTTCTTCCTGATTCCCCTTCAGGCCTACGCCCATATCCTCCGCTGGCCGGCGGATCTTGTGCTGAGCGCCGCGTGGTTTGTGGCGTTCGGGCTGCTAGTGGATTGGGTCGGTGACAGCTGCGGGTGAGTATTTCCAGAAACCCAACAAGTAGACTGTCTGTCTTAGGGACGGGCATTGCTGACAGGTTGGCTCGTATAGCAATGTCTTTGACTGGAACACCATCTCCTTCCGCGGCGCGGCGTCGTGCTCGCAGGTCAAGGCGACTATTGCGTTTTCGTTCTTGAGCGCCCTCTTCTGGCTCACGAGCGCCATCATGGGGTAAGTCTTGGGTGTCCTTTCGCTTCGGAATCTCAAGATCGTACGAGGGTATGGCATACTAACAGATGAACAGCCTCTACTTCATCCGTCGTAAAGGTCCCCGTCGCGGCCAGCGCGGCCAGGGCCAGCGCGGTGGCGGCGGCTACGGTGGCTATGGTGGGCGCGTTTAAGCGACAAACAATTACATCGGCGATATTCCTCGCCTAGGCTCTTCGCTAGCCTTCTTCATTTGCACCGCCAGCGATGTGTTCCAGCTAACCTATATTTCATCACGATACCCCCTTTCTCTCTCTATCGCCATGCGTGGACTTTTATCCCCATATTGTTATATCCGCCGTTAGCTTTCGGCCTGCGTGTCTTACTTTTGTACCATCTCGGATACGGTTCTCAGGGTTGCTTTGTTAGAGTCAGATCTATTTTCTGTCGAGCGCCCATAATGTTGTTGTAGGATAAGGAGTCAGGTCACTTAATGGGCTTTTCCTTTTTATTGTATACCCGAAAAAAAACGGTTAGGGTCAAATAAAGTTCATCTGCAAGGACTACGTGCAGTGCATTCGCACACAAGCTCCTAGGTACCTACCTACCTAGCTCCCCTCCATAAAAGTGTGCCTGAAGCTCGAAACGACCCTGGAGGCCGCTTCCTGTCAGCAACAAGGACCAACACCAGATTTGACACACGCGAAAACGCAACATCGCTGGATCCCTAAAGTGTGAAATAATACCCAGTCTCCCAGTCTCCTACTCGCGCGACTCGAGCCAGTCCAACCAAAGCTACGTTTTACAGTTGCAGCTGCGAGGTCAAGTTCCCTCCGAAATCGTGGGGTTAGGGTTCAAATCGATGACGTCACTCCCCTCCCAAGAAACGGCCTCGATTTGGTGGGGCTATATGGTAAATCAAGGGCGTTGATTGGGTGCTTTCCAGAACACCGATGGGAACGACTCGTAACGATGTCAGCTCGTCAGTTGCTCGCTTCGGAATATTCCGTGCTCGTTTCAACCGCCGATAAACTCGGTACACTAGGCTGATGGGCTGCCTCATTGCAATTCCCGTGGACGGTGGACGTGGCACTAAGGTGATGAGGGACGGGATAACGGTGTTAGTGTAGTGTAAGTGTAGCAGGGCGGGCGCGATCTTTAGCTGATTGCGGGGTTTCCGGGTAGATCCACGATCCTTGGTAGTAGTGTGGCGCAAGCATGCGGGCACCGAACGACGCAAGCTGAGCCCAAAGGAAAAAGCAGGGCAGCCACAGCTCTCATCGTATCCGATCGATTCGATTAGCCCGACCACGCCCGGTGAGTGGAAGAAGAGCTGAGAGAAGCTTGTTCGCTTGGCCGTAAGTGTCGAACGGATCCAATAAGCATACAGAGGAAACCGCAGTAGCTCCAACGGTTCCACACCCCTTGAGCAAACTCACGCAAGTCACGTCACTAGCCACACACACATCCCTGCTTCTTGCGCGAGCTCCTCCTTCCTGCTTAAACCCCTTAATGACGCCTACTCTTGTGAACATCACACAAGGCATGGAGGCGGACAAGTCTCGGGTCTCCACCTGGGACAGCTCCAAGCTCAAGGATTGGCGGCCGCCCTGAGGTGTTCTCGGCCGTCCCGTATGCTATGATCGCATCAACGGGGCGACGGTGACGTCGATGAGGTAATGGGCCGCCCCAAAAATAACGCGGACTCTCCCTTTTAGTTGTGGGGAGCTAGTCGGGCTAGTCACGCTAGTGCAGCGTAAAGCCACAGCTCTACTAGGTATGTGAGGGTGTGCGACAAGTACGTGAGTTGTGAGCTAGTCCTGCCAAGTCAACCAGTGGGAACCGCGCTTTGACGACACGGGATGAAGCTTGAACGACTCCTGGACGGAAGCGGACGAGGAGTACGTACCGTACCACGCAGCTAGCTGCACCTGAGGAAACTGGGCCCAGATGATGCCATTGACGCCATGGCTAACGAGTCAACCGCAATGCCCCCTCTCCCAAGATGGATGGGGGACTTGAAGGTGGTCTGGGGGATATAAGAAGTCCCCTTGGCCCCTTTGACAGATGTGAACAATATCCCTTCATCAACACAAACCACCACGATCAGGAACACAGCTCAAATCCACACCCAAGAATCTTTCAATAATACCCCATACCCACATTGAACACAAAACCATATCACAACTACCCATCATGTCCGGCATCGTCAACAAGATCAAGGAGGCTGTCCACAGCGATAGCAAGTCACACGGCTCTAGTGCCCCTGAAGGCACCCACGGCCCCCACGGCTCGCGCATCGCTAACGCTGCCGACCCCCGGGTCGACTCGGACCTCGACAACCGTGGCTCAGGACGCACCGCCGGCCAGGGCGAGTACGGTTCGTCCGGCATCGGCGGTGCTGGCCGCACTGCCGGTCAGTACGGCGAGTCTGGTACCGGTGAGTATGGCAGCAGCACAACCGGTACCGGTGCGGGAGAGTACGGCACTAGCCGTACTGCGGGACAGACCACCGGCGAGTATGGTAGCAGCACAACTGGTACTGGTGCGGGCGAATACGGTTCTAGCCGCACTACGGGTGCGGGCGAGTACGGCACTGGCCGCACTGCGGGACAGACAACTGGCGAGTACGGTAGCAGCACAACCGGTACTGGTGCGGGCGAGTATGGCTCTAGCCGCACCACAGGTACCGATGAGTACGGCACTGGCCGCACTGCTGGCCGCGGCGAGTATGGCTCCTCCGGCGTTTCGGAAGGCACCCATGGACCCCACAGCAGCCGCCTAGCCAACGCGGCCGACCCCCGCGTCGACTCTGACTTAGACAACTCCCGCACGTTTGGCACGGGTGCCTCGTCTGGCGGTCGTGACACAAGCAGCTACGGCACCGGTACCACCGGTACCACCGGTGGCTACACAGCAGGCGAGACGGGCTCATATGGCACGGGCAACACCAGAAACACCGGCAACACCGACCGCTACGGCTCTGGTGGTGATGACGAGTCGGGCGCCTACGGCTCTTCGGGCGCTGGGGGCCTCGGCTCCTCCGGCCCTGGCCCGGCCTCCAGGACGGCAGGCCCACACAAGAGCGACCTCGCCAACAAGCTCGACCCACGAGTCGACTCGGACCTCGATAACTCGCGCACCGTGGGCGGCAACAGGACCTATGAGTAAGTAGGTATGTCTGTCCCCTGTCCTTCCGGGAACAGCGATTACCCGCCCTTTTCTTTTCTCCCGTGCCAAAAGAAGAGATCCAAGATGTTAACGCAACAATATAGAGGAGTCAACCGGGACCCAACCGACGCAGCGCAGGTGCCGCCGTCGGTGCTGAAGAAGCACGTCGGCGACCCATCAATTGAGCACGATGACGCCGGGCACCATCGCGAGAGGCGCCACAGCATCAAGACGCATCAGGAAAATTTCCGTGGGGTCTGATTGAATGCTGGAGGATATTTGGGTCTGAGGACATCTTCTTGTAACGACTAGTTATGAAAGCAGTTTTTTATTGTCATGTTCTCACATTTAATGAGCTTTGTCGTCAAACGGGACTCGAACTCAAGGCCTGTATGAGTAATAGATACTACGGCCGTAGGAGGCTAATATGCCCCAATGAATCTCACTGTCAAAAAGATAATTGAATTGAGACTCCGGGCTAACAATTGTTCAAAATTATTCGTCGTTTGTTGGTGAAGGAACCTTCCCTGTCAGGGAGGGGCTTTGGCAAGTTGTGTATCGAAGCAGGTAATCCCTCCGGCCGTTTGTTGGTTTGGTAGTCCTCGAACTTGTCAAGAAAATGTGACCTTTCGCCCCATCAAACTCTGAAACGCGTCATCTATTGCCTTTCTCTTTTTCGTCTTTTCCGCTTCATCGCGCTGGTCGATGGTCTGGTCGTCCGTAGCTTCGATGTGGGTGCCTTCAAGCTCGGGCAACCATGCCCGTATCTGGCCGTCAAGGTGGCCGCTGAAGAGCCCACCAGCAGCATTGTTGCCGCCCATGGCTACGCCGCTGGAACTACCACTACCGCCCGCTGCGCGCCAGGCGACTGTTAGATGTCAGTCAAAGGTCAAACTTAGAAAAGATAGAAAATGAAAGTTGAGATAAGTGCCCGCCCTGCCCGGCTAAAACATCCCACAAGCCTAAATGTGTACTTACCACTTGTAACTCTGTTTTTCACCGTCCTCTCACCGCGCTGCGTCCCCACAGCCGCGACCGTCGGACCCATCCCTCGTAGTCTTGTCACCACATTCCCCTCATGTAACTCCATCACCAATATCTCAGACTCGTTCGGGAAAAACAACAGCTCGCTCCCGGGGGGCGTCAAGCCCATGGGTGACACAAACATGGGGATTGTAGCTACACCGGCCCCAGCCATCTGACCGGAGTTACGAATACTCGGGCCGAAGCTGGCGAGCGTGTTAGCGCCTGTGGCGGTGTCCCACACGCGAATCCGGCGGTCGTGTCCAGTCGAGATGAGGTAGGCACCATCGTCGGTCCAGGTCAGCCCGTTGACGGGACCGGCGTGAGCTTTGGCTGTGAGCTGGGGGTAGCGAGGTTGTTGGGAGAGTTTATCGTCGACTAGGCCGATGGTGTCCTCGTGGTCGAGTAAAGCGATGAGACCGTTGGATTTCCGCACATCCCAGATCCGCACCGCGCCGTCCACCGAGCCGCTAGCGAGAACATGTTCGTGGACGGGTGACCAGGCCACGGCCAGGGTAGCACCGGCGGACCCGCCTATCTGGCCTGGGGAAACTAAAGACTGCACGGCGGACGAAGACCGGAGGTCGACGAGACGGACGGCCGGGTGCTGGGTGCCGCAGGCAACGAGAAGGTGGGCGGCCACGGGGGACATGGCGTGTGTGTAGACCCGCGCGCCGAGGGTGAAGGAGCCGGAGACCGAGGCACGCTGGGTGTCCCAGAGTTTGAGTGTCTGATCGTGGGAGCAGGAGAGGAAAGCGGCGCTGTCGAACGGGTAGAAAGACAGGTGGGTTATGCCAAAACGGTGGGCGGATGTGTCACTGGGGGTAGCCGCGCGGGAGATGGCCGCAACGGGCTGGAAGACGTGGGAGCGTGATGGGTTCGCGCATTGTTCCAGATCCCAGAGCTTGATAGTTGCATCGGTGCCGCCAGATACCAGGCTAATTTACAACGTTAGAACATAGAATCGTAAGATGGCAAAAAAACCCCTATCCCTATGACTTACATGCGGCCATCAAAACGTTCGACGGCTAAGGCGCTCACGCCAGCCTGATGCGCCCAGCGGCACGTTTTAGTCTTATCATTCCCACCATTCCCACCCTCGCTCCGCCCACTCGTTTGACTCGCTTGACTTAGAGACTCGCCCGCAGCACGCTCCCCACCATCAAAACGGAAGCGAGAGGCCGCGGCGAAAGAACGTAGCAGCGCAGTCGTCTGGACGCGGGCAAACTCATTAGGCCCGACACGGCCTACCGACCGCTCTAGCAAGAGCGAGTTCATGCCATTGATCCGAGTTCTGGTCAATAGCTATACATTAGCGATGGTTGGTGACGATGGTGACGGTGGTTGAGATGGAAGTTGGTGATGGCAAGTTGTGGTGGTGAGGGGAGGTTTAGTGGGCCCGCAACGGACGCCCACCAACAACAGCCTGGAAACCCTGGCCACTGGAAACTCTCACCAAACCTCGATTCATCAGCGACAGAATTTTACAGCAGGCATCAAACCACCATTCCACTAGATAATTGCCAGTTGTTTACAGTAACCTCTGCATAGTCCCTGTTCTACTATGAGCCGCATAATTTTTCGATTTGTTGATTATTTTACATTATTCGCACCTGGCTGAAAAGTCGACCAGTTTTCTTGGACAATCCACCTTCACGATTTCCTTCACACGAGATATCCATCCCACAAAACATCACCGAGTTGCGTTTTCACACGCCAGACATCATGGACTCACCTTCAGAATCAACGAATCTCAAATCGGAGGAGAGCCCACAACCACCATCACCAACATCCTCAGACCCACCTCCATCAAACGGGTCGTCTACTACAACTGACCCTAAGAGACTGCGTGGTCGCGACGCCAACGTCTACGATGCCGTTGCTGGTTTGTCCCACCTCGACCCCCCCCCCCTAATATCATAAAATCAGAACAGTAAGCTGCTAACACCCCCGCCCAGGCCGTATCACCTTGAATAACGCCCTCAGGGACGCCGACGATCCGATCAGTCTCAGCTCTCGTCGTCGGCGCACCTCCGCGGGCCGCCACCACTCGGCAAGGAACGCTAAGCTAGCCCCCGAAGAGGCGCTCTTTCGTAGGAAGCATGCTCCTGCAAGATATGCAGAATACGATATCTACTGGGCGAGCGATGATCTGCCCAGCCGTGGCGGGGGGCGCGATGATAGTGCTACTCCTGTTGCTGCTGGCGGTGATTCTGGAAGTGCTGGCGGTGATTCTGGAAGTGCTGGCGGTGATTCTGGAAGTGCTGGCGTGGGTATTGGAAACGATAATAGAGATAAGCAAGGGCGCCGCCATCACCCCCTCCCGGACAGCGACTTACTGCGCTCCGTACATTGGTACGCGAGCCACTTCTACGAGGCCACCGCCCTCCGCCTGGGAGGGGTAGGCGATCGAGAGGGGCAAGAAGGAGAGAATCGCGGTGGCCGAAACCGCTGCTTCGTCGGCTCGCGACTTGTTGATGAGCGAAGCATGGACGAGACCGCCCTACTGGCATTTGGCGTGTTGTTGGAGGAAGCCGGGCGTGCGGCGCTAGGGACGAGGGGGGATACCGTATTCACGGAGGCGTCGATGGAGCATGGAAATAAGGGACCGGCCGCGGTGGCGGGTAGGTTGGGGTCGGAGCCGGGGTTTGGGCTGGGACCCGGACCCGACACTGGAGCTGGTACGAGCATCAGGTTTGGGGCTGGGCAAGAAAATGTGGAAGGCATCGTCGATCAAGCAACACCGCCTGGTTCACGGCGTGACCGAGAGCCGAAGCGGAGGAAAGTGGCGAAACAGGAGCAGATTGGGGACTGATGAGCCCTGACCAAACCTTGGAACAGGAGAACAGTCTGACGATGTGATTGCTCGGCAGCTCAGGCAACTGCACAAACCGCTCACGATGTTCCCTCGTGACTCAACCAAGCCTTGGGAAGATTTGATCTTCTGGTCAGACCCATGCCATGAGTGAGGAGAGAGCAGGGGAACGAGCTCGATGATCGGAGCTTCCTGGGCCCATGATTTCGGCCCAAAACCCCGCCGGGCATCGTTTCCTAATGTTTGCCACAGGACGGCCAGAAAATCGACAAACGAGCCGCAAACTCCAGGAACATCAACAGCTGATCGTGGGGCAGGTGTCCTGTTTGAGCCTTCGATCCCTCCCACTGATAGCTTCTCCGCAAGTTCCCCGTCAAGACGACCCATATACTTTGTAGTTTATGTGTATCGGGAAGGAGAGCAACCGTTCGGAGCGTGTTCAGCCTCCTCACGGCCCGAACTCTCGGCTTTGTTACAAAATTGCCTGGTTGTCTCGGGGGTGGTATCGTCCATCATTTTATGCGCACCCGAGGACACCATGTACATACAAGTACCGGTTTATCCTTGCCAGAACACGGCAAGAGCACTTGTCTCTTTTCTTTAGATCGCCATCCAATCATCAAAACCCCTGAACCCCTCCCATGACAGCCCTTCACTCATGAATTTGGCTCGCACAGTGTTGAGCAATAACACGTTCGGAAATATCCTATCTTGAGTTCCCCCCCGAGCTACCTGGCTTCCCTAGGCTGCGAAACCGAGAGACCGACCGACCGGCCGGCCGGCCGGCCGACCCACCTCCTTCCTCTGGATTTGTGTGACGGAGGCCCGAGCAGAGGTGTGGCCACTGAGAGCGCAGAAGGCAAGACACGGGGGTATCGAAAGTTTATCCTGAAGTTCTGCTCCTGCCTTTTTCAGCCTCTCTTGTCCGTCCCCTGCGGCGATTTGTGATTCTCGAGGGCAGGGAATAAGCTCCAAATGGAGATTCAAGTATTTGGGTTGTTGGAGAAAAGAAATACAGTGCAAGTAGCCACACGGTATTTGCTCTATTCCGCTGTTTCTTCAGGAAACTCTTTGTACAGTAGCGTACAGCTCGAGCAAAGACCAGGCTCTTGATCCTCGCTGGCCCTCCATAGCAAGTTTTCGACTGGTTGAAGAGGCATCACTTTGCCATTGGCAGAACCAAGTTGGGGTGAGTGACGGTGATGACGATGCCGCAGGCCCCTCATCTCGCCTTATTAAACGAAATAATGAACGTTCGGCTCAGTCGCGTGCGACGCACGTTTTTGTCTTACACAGTACATTCTCTCCTTACGTGGACACTGCTTTCCATGCCGTGGCATGTTCCATTCTCCCTTCCATGTGATTCCTTCCATCATTTTATACTACTCCGTACACTACGTAGTACACTCTGGACGTCTTTTCGGGATCTAGCCCAGCCGGCATGATTGATGGAGAACTCGACTTTTTAAAAAAGGAACGCTACATAGTAATAAAACCAAGAAGGATGGATGGACATCGCCAGTCCCCGTCCTGCACCATCCGCATCTTGTCCACGACCACGTGAGAGCCGAACCGTCCGGGGTAGGCCCCCATCCCGTGCGTAGTGTATTTTGCGCCTGACCAGGCCGTTTCCCGCTCTTGGAGAGTCCGAATCAATCAATGGCACTCCATGCTGGGTCTTTCGCGCCCTGACAGTGGCACCTAACTTAACTTTAACGTTACCGTTACTTCGTACCCTAGTGTACGGCTCCGTGGGCCCCCCAGGTTTTGACCCGCCAGCGGCGATCGGAAGAGGCCGTCGGGCAACCAAACTGGAAGGAACGCCTGCCTGCGACTGTGCCGGTGAGGTCCCATCCCATTAAATTCTTGGTTCGCCGGCCGCATGGATGTTTCATGGCTCACCAATGGCCGGATCTCCCCAAACAGAGGTCACCGGTTGTCGTTTGAAAGCGTGGGGGGCAGGGGGAGGGGGGCAAACGAAGAAGAGAGAGCGGGAAAATCATGCGGCCTTCGCCCGAGCCCCCGGTCTCATTTCGGAGCCGAACGTGCCTAATAAGAATTTTGCACAACTTTCTTGCCATTTTTTGAGTTTTGGGAAACCGGCCAGCGCCATTCCGGATATTGTAGAGTTGATCGGTCTTGCATGGTCTCAGCGCGGTGGGAAAACGTGGCGTGAGACAACAACGGCGCGAGCTGCCGATCTCTTTCAACTGCGTCCACGGAGGAATCACACAAACGGTTGTTGGAGGAGTTGCGGGATGTCTTGCTTGTGATGAGTCCGTGACGAGGGAATTGGGAGACATGGAGACAGCTGGGTTCATGAGGGGGAGTTCATCGAAAAAAAGACAACCTGCGCAGAAACTAGGCGCGAGAGTGGGGGTCGGCGTCCCGCGTTCCCAAAAAAAAGTTCGCCATTCTGGGTAAGTTATCAAATCCACGCACGGGTCAATCGGCTGGCGTTGCCTGTTTCCAAGCATCCGGATCTTTCCTGCATTTGCTGGGACGAGACTCCCATGTTCTCGCCGACTGATTGGCTGGCCACCTTTGGCCGCTTCGGCGGATTCGTTGGAGAACTCACTTGGTGACATCGGGGCTGTCCCATGCCCATGTCCATGGATCGGCCGCTAACCTTGGTGAGTTCGGAGTTGCGAGGTGAGCAGTGTCGTTCTTTTGAGTGGTGAAACCCAAGATTGATGAACTTGAATGGGAAGGAGGACTGATTGTCCACGAACTATTCGTACGAAGGTAGTGTATACTGACACTGGCTTAACTGGACACTGGACGCTGCAGAGCCTCGGTTGGGAGTGGCGTTGTTTGCTTGGATGAGTGGATGATGGCCGCCCCTCCGGCCCCAGGGTATGGAAGTGTTTTTTTTTTTTTTGCCTGTCTCGGTCAGCGGTGAGAACTGAGAAGGCACGCCGGCGGCTTGTTGTTGGGAAGAAAGGTCAGAGACTCAGAGCTCAGGCACACCATTCGCTTGACATTGCCCGACTGTCTGGAACGGGCCTGAACGGCTCAAACGGCTAGCCGAAGAGCCCAGCGTTGTCCCCGATGGCACCCCACCAAATCCTGACCATGTCTCGTTTCGAGATGCACTCACACACCATTAAACCAATTTCTTGGACGCGTTTGACTCCATCTATCATCACCCACAATCACTTCTTGAACTGCATTCTCTACCGTCGGGACATACGAGGCGACACTAATGCAGTGTGGAACGAGGATCCAAGAATATTCCCACTCGTTCGATGGAGTGTTCTCCTCATTCAACCACTTTCTCCTTCTCAATTTCTTGCTTTTTCATTTACCGAACACACCCCACAAAGTCTCAGTCACCATGGCCAATTCGAGCAATGGGGCACTCGGGAGAATCAATGATGTGCGTGCCCCATGTCGGGAAAGATTCGATCTCACGGATGGGAGAGAAGGGGTGCGACCAAGGGAAAGAAGAAGAAGAAAAAAGAGAGGACTCGTCTTCGAACCTCGTGGTCGGCGACTTGGCGATTCATCATTCGGAGGTAACGAATCAGTGTAGGGGTTTGTTCCTTTCGCACAGCCCCAAGGCGGCGCGTGGGGACCTGGCCGTCAGGTCGACGGTTGTTGATTTGTCGGTACCTTGTGGTACTCATTTGTGAGGTTTGGGCTTCTCGGAGCACGGTGCGGAAAGAAATCCCCGCTCCACGGTTCAAATGGGGTCACACTGTTAAAGTGGGGCATCAACACCACTGTGCCGCTCTCTCGCCTTGGAGAGGCGCCAGGAAAACAGTGCTCCAATCTTCTGGTTTCCCACGAGCGACGGGCAGTTCTTGGAGTGTACCCACAGGTGTGGACGGTTCGAGAACGAGGGACTGCTCGTTGCCGGGCCTCATGCCGCGCAGACATCAGACCTCACCGGCCCCATGGACTCGGTTTCGTGGGATCGGGCTGCTAGTTTCCAATCTTGGCTAGGGGGGAAGATATGTGGGTGTTGATATTTGCGAGCATTCCCATCTTTTCTTCGGGGCGAGCCATCCTCGCTCGGTAGGGGCCGGGCACAACTCCCTTCTCACTCTGTTGACCATACCGTTGCCCAGTTTGTGTTGTCACCCAACCACCCCGCTCACCCAAAGCGGGGAGAGGGGGGTTGATGATCATCAACGGCAAAGGACGAGGAGTTGGATGAATGGGCAGCCCTGGGAGAGCTTGCTTGAGCTCTGCGCGGGAATCCTAGTTCTGTTCCCGGAAGACAGTAGTGTATCCCGAGGGAGGAAAGGTAGGCTCGAAATAGGGTAAAGGCAGTCTGTGTGACCTCCATCGCGGGTTGGCGGGCAAACCAGGCTGGGTGATTGTTGATGATAGCGAGCGACGGCTGGGCTGACAGCTCGTAACGTTGTGGATGTCACAAGTTTGGATGCTACCCACGCCCATTCCTCTTCGAGCCGAGCCTGGCGCTTGGCGCCCCCAAGGTGGAGAGCTTCCCCTCCACTGGCGTTGCGTGCCACACGCCTGGGGCACCATCCACGCGAGCCAATCGGTGGTGGATGAGGGTGCGAAAGACAGAAGCATTTCAAGTGAACTGGTCTGTTTGCCAGAAGAAATAACTTAAGAGAAGGTGAGAAAATACCATTTGAGGAAGTTCTTGACGGGCCTCACGGTGCCGGGATTTGTACAGTAAGTACTTTCACCCTTCGTAGCAGCTCATCTACCGTCATACGATGGGCGAATACTCGGTTCGATGATTTCCGTTTGGCACGGCTGAGGAGCGACCCGTCAGCCTCTCCCATCCCCACGATTGCCCAACCCCCACCAGGATAATGAGCAGGTGCCTCCTGCCCTCCGGCCGCGGACCATCAAAGAGCATGATGTGTACCGTAGTAGTTCCCTTTCGTACCGTAACTAACTTACGGACCAGGCACACCAGACGCTCGTTTTGCTTCCCGATGGGTCTTTTTAATTTTTTCCATCTGAGGTGGTCGTGTTCTCTTATCCGAGCAAACGGAGCAACAACCAGGTCCAGCTTACAACAGTGAGGCGAGAAAAGAAAAGGCGAGGAGAGGAAAAAGAACCAAAAAAGAAAGAATGCCCCAGGAAACCCAACGCGAACCGTGTCAATGCCGCGTTCTCAGCTCGCCCATTCGTCTAGGGCCCAAGCAGCAGGGGCCGCCTTTCTCGAAAGAGAATAGTAAGAGAGCGGAGAGGGAATCGTGCTTTCCCAAATTTGAAATCTCCCAACATCGGACGGGCGACCCACTGAATCTCCCATTTCTGATTGCTCAGAACGACCCCGTGGTGTCCCCACTGACCTGGTTCGGCCCAAGTTCCAGTGGACCCCCAAGGACCCTTTGGGGACTTGCTTGGGTTCGGCACGGCTGATGACCTGAGCCCAGGCTGAGGAGCGTCTTTCCAGGTTCATTTCCTCAAAATTTGGGAATGTTTTCTCGCCCACCACTGCCCACCTAGCCCCAAACACCGCCTGACCTGCACTGAGCACGCTTGCTCCTCGTCGTTCGCACGCGACTGGTCCTGTCGCACGACGCCGCCTGGCAGGTTTCGCGCACACGCACATGTGCGTACACGCTCACGTTCCCCTCATTGCGCGGTCTGATACGTCGAGACGGGAAGCTGTATTTTCCGTCATCTTTTTTTCTTCTCCGATTTCTTTGCCGCCTGTCCTGTCGGGTGCCCAGGATTGGGAGTTGGGACTGTCCACCTGTCCTTGCCTTTCCGCTGCCGAGCTACCGAAGCCCGTCCCGTTCCCTTGGGCCTCGAGCGCCTTCACTACCGATTCCAGCATATCCCGGCCGTATTGGACCTTAGGCTGGACCAAGCTTCTCACTAGTATTTTTGCTTGTCCTCCTCCCCACCTCGCCTACATACACTACTACTGCCTACTCCAAATCGCGACCACACACAACGCAACACAGGCCACACCGGCCACACCCCCCATTTCCCCGTTGCTGCCCGACATAGCAAGAGAGCGGCAACCTGGAACACCGCTAGCGACGGGCTTCCTCGGGCCCCCTCGTCAGGGCTCCTCCACTTATCGTCACCTTTCCGCCCGGCCCGGTCCTGCGGCTTTACGACCGAGGCGGATTCGCCGCTGCAGAGCTTCATCATCATTTTGAGCGTCCCGAAAGAGGCTCCTCCCAGTGCGAGTTTGACGGCTTTTTCCAAGACGCACCCCCCCTTTCCCCCCTACAATCATCCCTTCACTCCCCCACACCAGCGGCGCATTCCCAGACAGACCGCCTTGCGCCGGGTAAGCCCGTCGGTCGGTCACCTCTCGCTGGATTCGTGGATCTCTCTCTTTTTTTTCTTCTTACACTAGACCCTCGCGCCAAAGAGAACCTCGGACCTGGGTGTACTGTCTGCGGTAAGGGAGGAGTGAGCGTCTGACGCCCACACACAGTCACGGGGTCTTACCGGAGTACCCCCCCTGCTTGAGTTCTCTCTTGTCCTTGTCTTCTCTGGGTCTCTCTCACCGGGTCCTCCCCCCCCCCATCTCGCTCAAAGCGTGGGCAACTCTCCCCGCTTGTGTTCCATGCTCCCGCCGCGGCAAGCTTCCTGCTGGCCCGCGACTTGACCTTAGCTTCTGGCCGGCCGCTCTCAGGTCTCAAGCAGCCCTTCTCATGTACAAGTACATGCATGTATAAAGACCCCAGCCATGGACCAAGGGCCACCTGACACCAAGCGCCCCCGTCTGTCGACTGGCCCGTCATGGTCGGCAGGGGGCACTCACCACGGTGTTTCACTGCTCCATCCTGCTCCCTCGCCCACCGCGGGCCAGCTGCCTCATCATCCCCCACTGTCGACCCAGTATCAACAACCACAGCTTTCACCGCTTTCCTTCTCACGCCCTCTTGGCCCTGGGGATCATCCGCATCCGCATCCGCCGCACCCGCACTCACACCCACACCCGCACGCGCCTCCGCCAGCCGCGCATGCTCCTCACCCACATCCTCACTCGCAACCCCCGACTCCCCATTCTATTCACGCTCAGCCTCAGCCTCAGCCTCAGCTTCATCCACCCGCGCCTGGAGCATCACACACGGCCCTCGACGACCGACGACAACATGAGTCGGATCGGTTCCCGCCTATGCAAGATCACAGGCAGCCTCCGCACTCGCCGGCGCATCCACCCTTCCCCCCCTACGGTCACCGGGAGCCCATGATCAAGGCCGACCCCGCCGGTGCGCCAGACGACAACAGTATCCCCCCCCAGTTGCGCCGGCCGCTTTCCACCGGCGCTGGCGTCAGCGTCAAACCCCAGGACAGCAACATGACGCCTGTGACACCACACTCCGCGGTACCTCCGCCACCGCACTCTCAGCCATTTGGAGACGACAGACGCCACATGAGCTTCGACAACGGTCCGCAACAACAACAGCAGCAACAGCAACAACAACCGCCGCACCAACAACCGCCGCACCAACAACCGCAGCAGCCGGTCTACAGCAGGCAAGCCAGCTACCAACCCCAAACCCCACTATCACACGCTCAGCCCTACGACTACCCCCCGCAGTATGCCTCGCACTCTGATCTTCCCTATCCGATACAAGTCGCGGCCGCGTCCGGGAAGCGCAAAGCACAAAGGGCGTCCCAGGTTTGCCACCCTCTGCCTGCGTGAACCCTTCGTTTTGAGGGGGCGTTGAGATGAATCGGTAGCTAACGAGAGGGATATCAAAGGCATGTGATATGTGCCGACAGCTCAAGGCCAAGTGCGACGAGCTTAAGCCATGCAAGAGCTGTAAGGAAAAGAACTTCGATTGCAAGTACCGGGAAACAGTCCCCAAACAGTGCGTCGCTCCTAACCCGTCCTCATTCGCCATGTCTCTCTGTTCTTCTCCTTGTTATCCCTATCCTCCTTGATTGGCTAACCCTAGCGATGAAGGCAAGATAAGATTGCGGCAGACATTCTTGATACTCTCGTGTCAATACAAAACAGGCTCGAGGCTCGATTTGATTCGTTTGATCAGCGTATGAGAAGGCTGGAGTGCGCCGTACTGCGCAATGGGTCTCCCGGTGACCTGCCTCCTGACCCAATGGTGGAAGACGAGGACCGGCCAGATTCGGCGGCCTCAGCCCCCGCTACTGCTGCCGACGGTCAGAATTCTGCCTCACCCGGCGAGGAGCCGACCGCGTTATTACAGCCTCCCATGAACAGCGTCGAGGCGAGGAGCATCGCCCGGAAAATGGAGGAAGAAAAAGAGGTCGAGCCTGGGCCAGTCGTACGACCGGGCGCTGTTTCTATCCCGGTCAACCACACAACACTGGCCGCGTTCTTGCTCAGATGGCGTCCGATCGAATTCCTTGTTGGCGACATCCTCGAGTCCGAAAACGTCAAGTACATTGGCGAGTTCCCCATCCGACAGGAAGAGAAACGCGGCCTCTTGCGGATCTGGGGCCGCGGCGAGGGCCTTGAGGCTAGTCTGCGGGTTGACAAGGCCGATAAGGAAGCCCTCCGTGATGCGGGCGTCATGGAGATGCTGGACGATGTTTCGGACGCCGGTGCGCCTTCACCCGGGGATTGTTGGGGCGGCATTGGGAGTTCGCCAGCGCCCGTGGACGGTAAGCCCGTTATCGCCCTACAGGCGCCGGATTTCAGCGAAAGTGTGGTGTGGAAGTATGTCAAGAGTTACCAGGATAACATTCAGAACATGCACCCACTCATTATCCCGTTGGAGCTCAAGGCCATGGTCAAGATCTTCTTAGACACAGTCCAGCAGACAGCCAGCACCCGGTCGTCCCGAAACCCCAATGTTGCCAAGTTCGTCGCCACACCAGCAGCACAGCCGGAGTCAGGTGTCAAAAGGAAGAGATCTCCAGGTCCGGAAGGCGCCGAGTCCCCGTCGTCGTCCCCCAAGTCGTCCAAACCTGTTTTCCAGCGATCGATCAACAATGCGCTGGTCCTCTTGGTGCTTGCTCTCGGCAAGGTCTGCCTCGTCAAAGACAAGATTCCGGACGTGGTACCTGTCAGCGAGCCTCCGCAGCATGGGTCACCCCTAGCACGGAACGGTTACCCAGCTTCCCCGGTTCAGGGCTCCTCGCCCTCTTACGCCACTCACTCTCATTCGGCCGGCCTACCATCGCCCAAGGACGGCATTGAACGCCCGGGCCCCAGCAGACGAGCCTCCTTCCAAGGCGCGGGCACGATGAAGGGAGCGACGTCCTTGAAGAGGAACATGGATGTGATCCCAGGCCTGGATTACTTTGCCTACGCGACCGATATTCTCGGCGGACAAATAGCGGGCACGAGTTTACGACATATTCATGCTTATATCCTTGCCGGATTATACCACGGGCAACTCGGCAGAGTCTTGGAAAGCTATGCCTACATCAAGGAAGCAGGATATGCGTTACAGGCTAAGCTCAGGCCGTAAGTCTTTTTTCTTTTCTTTTTTTCGTTTCTTTTTGGTGTTTCTCTCCTCTCTTTTCAGCTACCTTTGACAATGGCTACCCCGTACGCTCCTTACTAACCTCTCTGAACCTGCAGGAGTCTGGACCGGTTCAGAAAGTTACAGGAACTCGGTCAAGAGGCTACAGTCACCGAGAAGTCGGATAACCAGCTCGTCTTTGCGTTTTGGACTTGTCTTCAACTAGAAAGGTGAGCTATATCGATTCGAGATTCCCGCGAACCCCGTCAATGAGGCAGGCGGCGGCTGGCTCAGAGGCAAGTCAACTAACCCGATCCGGACAGCGATATCATCGCCGAACTTCCCTTACCGCAGACGCACATACTAGCCTACGAAGAAATCATGCCGTATCCCAACATCCAAATGGCTAAGAATCTGGGCTTCGAAGAACTGGTTCTTCAGAGCTACCTCGCGCAACTCTATCTCCGAAAGAAGTTGAACCAGATCCACGGCATGCTCTACAACCCTGAGAAGCCATTGCCCATTGACAAGGAGACGGGGACACCAATCCCCCATATCATCGACTACATTCAAGAAACGATCGATATGCAGTTTGTTCCGCCCGAATTCAAGTTTGAGCGTACCGATCCACCGGCCGGGGACATTCTATCAGCACGGTTACGGGCCAAGTTCTGGGGCGCCCAAGTCATCACATACCGGCCGTTTGTCCGGCAAATTCTAGAGGTCAACTTCCAAAAGATGTTCAGGGCGGAGGATGATCAGTCCACGATGCCCAGGTCCGATATTCGATCCGGTGTGATCGTTCCCGTCCTCGGCCCGGACAACGATATCCCTCAGACGATGATCGACTATGCCATCAAGGGGACGCTAGCATTGATCGAAAGCACCCGTGCGTTCCACGGCCTCAAGGAGAAACGATACGTGGTGACCAATATTTTTGGGACAGCTCATGCGTAAGCCCCTTTCCGTTCCGATGACATCTTTACATATCACGAGATGGACGGCCGCTAACAGAAAAACACCAACTGTTTAGGCAATGGGGCAACCTTGTCACACTCGCCGCTATATTCCGCGATCCGATACTTCACGCGTATGTCGACGAGAATGTCCTTCGGGGGCTCTTCGCTCGGACGATCTCCTTCTTCAAGATCATTGCACCGCCCAGCAGCTCCTTGCACGTCGATCTGCGAATCCTGGAAGGCCTCGAACGCAAGCTTTGGGGCCGGTCGAGCTACGCCGATCCGATGGACCATCCCACTAGCTCGAGTTTCTCCAGCTCGGCAAGCGGTGGTCCTCCGCCCGCCCCATCGATGGGCCCCGCGCCTCCTCCTCCCAATGTCCCCATCGCCGGGCCTCCCGGAGTCCACTCCCCCATCCGTCACCTCAGCAATGGGATGATGAGCATGTCCCCTCCATTGCCATCACCTCATCTGGTGCCGATGTCTGCGGGCGCCGTTCCAGGGCCGCCACCAATGACTTCGCCAGAGGGGGCTCATGGCTCACATTCTGGACAGCAGCACCCTGGTATGCTGCCTCCTGGGCCGCATCATCCGCCTCACTACTAAGAGCAGTTGTTGTTTACTACCAAACCGAACCACACAGATCACGCTCGACACACACACGCAATCGCCCATCGCTATTCACAGATCTATTCATACATACACACACGTACAACATCACATTCCGCCCTCACTTTCTTTTTGTGTTTTTCTCTTTTCCGCCACTGACGTTTATCTTGGGTCCCTATTTCGTAGCATTTGCATGCGCATGGCCTTTCTTTTTTTATCTGGCGGCGGCGGAGATACCACTATGTGCAACTATGTCTTTGTTGGTTGGAGGGGAAGCAGGGTTTTTCGGGGGTTAATTTAAAGGGGGCTACTTGAACGACGGTGGGTTGGGGGGCTTGGTGGGAGGTGACGCATGTTTGCCTATCTATTGATTCCCTCTCGGTGAAGGGGGTGTCTAAACTCTACTGTGTCGTTTATGCGCCTTGCAAATGTTTGCAAGTCCCGCTCTTCTTTTGTCTCGTGTGTTGCTACGTGTTAGGGGGTTCGGGGGAACGGGGGAATAGGGGCAGGAAACAGGGGTGGGAGAGGGGGATAAAAGGAAAGGACGGGGAAAGGGTGAGAGGTTTAGGGGGCGGCAGCTGAGGCTAACCGGATGGGTGGTATCCTGTGTTCTTTGCTATATTTTTTGACTGCGCATTGCTCTGGGGATTCCGGGGGCCTTTGCTTTAGGCGTACTAAACCTGGGCCGGACTAGCTTGGCTTCGTGGGCGACCGAACTTCCCTCTTCCTCCTCCGCATTACTATTCTAATACATAGCCGACTACACTTTTTGATTGTTGGTGTACCTCTTCGGTTGTGGTCACAGTTGTGATGCTGGGGATGAGTGGGTAGCCAAGTGGGAACGGATTGCACGACGGTATCCGGAAAGGCGCAGATAGATGCATCAACGGATTTCGGTAGCAGTGACACACGGAAGAGGGTTCATCGAGAAGCATTTACACAGCTCTGTCCTCCATTTCCCGGCGTGAAGACTTCTACCTCGTCCGATACTATATCACCTCACTCGGTGGTTCTATCGTATGGTATCGTTTTGTTCGATGGGTCACTCTCTTTACCCCTCACTCCTGCAACTTCTCATCAAACCTCACAATAGCACGACACACAAACATAACCACCCATCCGGATACGCAGCCTCGCGCATCAACTCCTCAAGCGGCGCACGAAACGGCACCGGCCCGCCGTGGAGGATGATCTGGGCCAAGATTGGATCGCGGCTGCTTGGGAAGAGGGTCGGGAGGACGGTTTTGAGGGCGCCCCCGAGTGTTTGAACTGTCCCTTTCTGGAAGTTAGTTCGTCACTAAACAAGAGCAGCAGGAAATAGTGAGCTTACGATTCGGCAGCCGTGGTGGGACGAGAGTCTGGACGACCTTGAAGGATCCCGTGGCAGCGTCGTTGGCGTCACCGCTAGGGGAAGATGGGACGTAGATGCGGAGAGGGACGTTTTTGAGTGGCGTTGGGGTGTTGAGGAGGCGGCTGTTGACTCTGCTGAAGGACGCATAGTCATCTTGTGGAAGGGCATTGCTTGTTAGTAACTCATCATCGGAAAGCCGAGTCTCCCCCAACACACGTAGAAAGCAGTAACGTACTATCCTGCACCGAGTTCCACAAGGCGGTGCTGTGTTCCTTGGACAGACTCATGATTTGCTTTGCGTTCCCGTTCCGGACAAAGTCCGCTTCCTTGGCCGAATTGGTAAACGTATCGGCGATATCCCACTCCGGGCCGTCACCGACGACTAGCCGCCAAGGTAGAGTGGTCGGCTGGTACAGGTCCACCAGGAGGCCAACAGCCAGGTTCCGCAACTGGATCTCCTCATGGTGGAAGCTCGAACACGGCAAGCCAAAGTAAGCCGTGAGGCGGGGCAAAAGCAGGGCTAGGTAGCTGAATCGTGGGACCGAGACGACGAATGGGCCGACGGCGGTGGTGGAAGAAGACTGAGAGGCGTGGGAGATGTACAGGGGTATTTGGAGGGCCCAGAGAATCTGGGGGAGCGGTGAACCCAGTGACTGGGCATCGGGCCCGCCGTCGGACGGTGGGTTGGGTTTGTTGCTCTGCGTGCCGCTGCTTTTCCAGCGAGGATCGGGCCGGGTACCGGATGCGGGCGAACCCACCGGGGATGGCGAGGGCGATGCCATGGCATCACATGGATTCTGTGTTGGAGTTACGATCGCCCACCTCTGCCCTTCACTCAGCTCTGAACTGCACGCCTTCGATTACGAAACCACAAGCACCCTTCCTCCACCCCTTGGAGGCAGGGGTAGTAGGAGCCAAGTCTCGTGGAAAAAAGAAGACGAAATAAAGCACGAATAAAAAGAAACGTAAAAGAAGCAAGCGGGTCTCGGAACTCGAGCACTTCCTACGTGTCGCGCCTTCTCATCGATATGCTAAAGCGAGTCGTCGTTGAGAGACGCCGAGAGATAGTGGGGCCCACGGACTGAGTGAAACACACAGCTGGCGCAGAAAATCGAGGCCGAGCTGATCCGATCAACTTGTCCTGGACGGGCAAACCAAAAAGGAAGCGCTGCAGCTGCGTCCCAGACCGCCCCGAAAATCCCCTTTCAGGAGGCCAAAGAAGCAGCAGCTTTGTCCGTCAATGCGGAGAACAAACAGCCAACGACATCCGATGCCTTGGTGCGCCTTTCCGCCTTGATGGAAGGAGACTGCGGGGTACCGAGGGGCACACACCTTCCCCATGCTCACCTCTGCTTGGCCCGATCTTTGCTAGATCCACCAACATCTCGACATCGCGCTTTCCATTTGGGCGAACATGCAGCACATTCCAACACCAATGGGGGGCTTTTTCTCCGACCCTTCAAGGGGAAAAAAAGAATCTGCAAGGACCTCTCTGTACCGTGCGACGATTACTGTGCCCAGATGTCGCCTCAGGTCTCGGCTGCGGGCCAATCTAGGGCCGGAACTTTGCAGATGCTCGCATTGCGTGCTGCAAGTGGGCAACGCAAATCCGATCTTGATATGCCGGCTCAGGCCGGGCATCGGGTAGTTTCAGTGTCGCTGATTCCGTCAAGCAGGAGCAACCTGAATCCAAGTGGATGCACGCACACGGCAGATACCAACGCAATCAAGTCAAACCCCCACAACCTGGAGAGCAGAGGCTCCCCCTATTTTCTTCCCATTGCCGCACTTCTCGCCACAAACAGAAGGAGGGAGAAGACAACGATGGGGAGCGGGCCATGATACTGCCGAAGATGGGTTGCACCTCCCACACGGCGGAGAATCAACCCCACCGCTCGGGTACTCATATTAGATCATAATTCGTGGCTTCCAACACACTCCCGTAGCACCACATCCTAATGCCGCCCAGCCAAATACCTAACTAGAACCCAAAGGGGCGGGACCAACTCAGGCAAGGACAACCGGTGGGAGATTGCCTGTTGCAACACCCGATACATTCTGCCCCGGCTACCTCACCCGCCTGAGTGTTTGATCGGGTACCTCTCACACCAGTGCATGGCATGGATCCCCCTCGTGTAAGTTTATGCCGCCGTCCGAGGGGCCAAAGTGAGGGGGGGACCTCAGCCGGTGACAAGCCGTTTTGAAACAAACAGACACATTTGTACATACATGGCGAGCATTCGACCACCACCATGAAATCAGATTACCTTTGCTCTGCAATTTCCTCTTACACCGTTTGGCAACGGGCTTGTCCCCCTTTACAAACGCTTTGCAATCAAGACATGCGATGGCGTTGGCAGGGGATTTACACCGGATCCTGGGACTCATCATGCCTCTTCGATGTCAAGCACCGGACGCAGAAAACTCAGGAAAACTCGGAATTTGCCAACGAGAAACTATAGAAACTGAGAAATGGAATCTAGAGGGGGGGGGTTAATAGGATTTCGTACTTGCCCAATGCCAGTCAAGTCTCCTCCTTCGTCACTTCCGCATGTCTGTTGAGTCACCAGATTCCACCCCGATAGAGAAGGGACAACCGAGATATCGTGCGAGTCCAGTCCCTGACCCCACCTTCTCCCCACGACGGATGGAGCTAATAAATTTTCCTCCAGCCTTCATACCCTTTTGACGAGGGCTAACCATCGAGGGTTTCAAGCGAGCCTACTCAAGGTGATGTATCTTGGGAGCTACCCGTGTAGTGTGTGGCATCGTGCTGAGACTAAATAACACAGAGGAGAGCAATGATAGCAAAGTACGGCGCAGAAATTTTGAAATATGATAATAGTTCTGTTCATGTATACGTGTATCCGGGTCCTCGTGGTTGTTTTTGCCCACACCCGCTAATTAAAACCCAAGAGAAGGAAAAAAAAACATCGCTCAGAATAATCCCTGCCCGTCCCCATGAAATGCACTACTAGAGAATTCTAATAAATGGCAAAGAGAACGTTTCCATAACGGGGTGAGAGAAATGTGAAATATACACAACGAATTTGGGAAAGAGATATGTTCCGTAGACATGTCATGTACAGTTAGATGGAGAACAAATAAGCTTCGCTGGTTGGCAAGACGTTGAGCAAAATGAAAATAGCAAAGAAGCCGATGAAGAAGTGTGAAAAGAAAGAAAGAACCAGAGGTTCTAAGAGACACTCCCCTTCTTTCTCCGCCCAAACACTTTCGAAATCCCCCCACTCCCTTCTTCTTTATCCGCGGGACTACTAGGCAGGTTGCCCACCGTCGACCCAGGCGGAGGACCCGAATGCTTCAAAAAGTCAGCCAAGTCGGACGTGCCACCCCGGCTGGACACCGATGCGGCCTCGCGGGGCTCGAATTTCTTCATGGGGACTCGGCCGGCGGCGGGGCTGGGGCTAGGACTTCCGCCACCCATCATGCTGGCAGCCTTGTTCGAGGAGGTCCGCGCCGGGTGTGCATACGCACTACTAGGGATGTTGACCTGGATCGGAATGTGCCCGGGCCGAGCCCCACCGGGACGGCCGCCGCTGGCACTCCGGAGGTCTGACACCACCTTGGGGCTTGCGGGACGGCTGGAGCTTGCCCCAGTGATAGAGCTGTCGCGTCGGGTAAACCGGGCCATGAGGCTAGACGCGCTAGCCTTTTTCTTGGGCTGCTGCTGTTGCTGTTGTTGCTGCTGCTGCGCGTTGCGTGTTTGGGAGATGTTGAAAGGCCGAACGGTGGGTTCGGGCGGGGGCGCGTAGTTGTTGAGGAAATCGATGAGGCTCTCTTCCTTGGCAGCGGGTTTCTTGGGTGGCAGGGGGGACGGGTCATCGTCGTCCTCGAACTCTTCGTCACTGAAATCAATAGCGTATGGGTCGCGCACGCGGCGTGTCTTGCGCTTCGGCATGGGCATGTCGGTATCGGCTGTGTCGTAGGAGAAGGTGTTGCTTTTGGTGAGCAGGGCGCTGTGCGAGTTGACAGACTGAATAGAAGGTGGGATGGAAATCTCGGTGCCGTAGGTCGAGGCCCGGCTGATGCGGAACTCGGTGTCCCGTAGCTGGGCATCCACGGCTCTGCCACCCACCGCAGCCGATAGCTGGTCCGAGTCCATGGTGCTCCGGAACGGCGCAACCGTTCGAGGAATACGAGGCCCAGTGGCGTTGCTGGGTGGCCCGCGGCGGATAAAGTCGATCAAGTCGGAGTTATCGTCCTTGCGACTGACAGCAGCACTGCGGGCCTGGAGCCTCTGCCGGTTCGGGTTGCTTGTTATGGACAACCCGCTCGTCTCCGCGCTCGTGTTGGAGACCGACTTACCCAGGGCGAGGCCTGGGGGTGGTAGGCCCGGGGAGAGCGGGACGGGTGGCTGGGTGTTCCCGCCGGGAGGACCAGTCGAGCGGATGAATTCGGCGAACTCGGCGATAGATTCACGGGCGAGCCTCGGGTCTCTAGCCTGAGGCCCGTTCGTGCCACGCGGTTTCGTCGGGACGGGAGGAATGGACCGTGGGACAACAGTACCGTTCTTGGTGATCCCTGAGGGCAGGTTGCGGGTAGCTTGGTGCACATCCGAAAGGGAGTGTGACCCGGAGCCCGATGACCGAGGGGCCGAGGTGGGTGTCCCGGCGCTGTTGCGAGGGACGGAAGACGAACGACGGGCAGTGCTCCGGCGGGCTTCCTCACTCTTCCGGGTCTTGACTGAGACGACGGAGCTCGAGGTCATGGAACGGCCCGGTGGTGGGGGCAGCTGCAGTGGAGCATTCGGGTTAGCCGAGTGTCGGTGCAAAACTAAAACCCAAAATCTATACAAAAAAGGCAAGAACAAAGCAAACTAAGACAAAGAAAAGGAACTATGTGCTTACATCAAGGTCTCGCATGCTTTCTGGCGTCAGTGTGTACTGAATCGTCTCGTCACTCTGGATGAGCTCCTCAAAGTTCCGCACGACATCAATTCGGGCTTGCATGCCCTCCTCCGAGGTGCGTACCGCCTTCAGCTTGGTCGCCGAAACCGGTTCGGCCGAAGGCTGTCGCTGCAGCCGGTTCCGTCCGGCCGAGAGATCACGCGGGTGAGGGGACGAAGGCGACGCCCGTACTGGGCTGCGAGCTCGCGACCGTTCGACTGATACCTGTCCGATGGGGGCTGCGGGTGAACGCAGCGCGGATGTATTGGCGATCGCTTGTCTACCAGCGCTTCGCTCGGGGACGGCCGGGGGCTGGATAGTCAGGGAAGAGTACCGCCGTTGGCCATCCCTTTGGGTTGGGATGCCGGTGGTTTCCTTCTCCTCGGGCAGTACGGGCATCGATTCGATGTAGAAGTCGCCGCTGGTCTTGGAGGCCGTGGATGCGGGCGAAGAGGTGGCCGGGAGGACGGTAAGCTTGTTGATGATGGCCCTGGGAGGTGTGGCCGGCTCCTCTGGGTCGGTGGATAAAGCGCGCTCGGCTAGTTCGTTGCTCGGCTTCACTCCGGGTTCCGGCGTGGTCACGGGGCTCAACCGGCCTCGCGGGCTGCCCTGGGACGACCGCCCAGGACCGTCGCCTGGTGTGGGGGTGGTGATAACACGACTCGTACGGGATGGGCTCGAGTGAGAAGCGGAATCGGCAGTACCGACCGAACTGCGCTGCGAGTTCGCCACCGGGCTGCGGGGGCTTGTTACCTCGATCAAGCGCACGGAATGGATACTCGGGGTACGGACGCGGAGGTTCTTGGTCGGTTTTCCGGGTTCCGGAGACGATGCCGTGGATGGACTCCGGCCAAGAATGGAAACTCTTTCGGATCGGACGAACCGCGGCTCTTCAATTGATACCTCGTCTTCACTGTCATCTCTCGCTTCGTCCTCATCGCTGGGGGTCTCCGCCGGCACGTTATCGGCGCCCGAGACTGTGCTTTCGGTAGTGTCGGTAGTCTTGGCTTGCTCCAGCGTTGCTTCCTGGACATCCACCGGTGCATCGCTAGTTGACAGATCCACGCTCGCCTCAGTTGTTTGTTGCGTTCCGGGGTTGGGCGCAACAGTACGTGGGCGCGAAGGCGTTGGTACAGAGTTCGAGCGTTTCCGAGGGACTTGTGGGCGGGCTTGGGCGGAGGAGTCGACCGGGCCCGATTTTCCTCCCAATGGTAGCACAAGCATGCTTTTTGGCCGTGCCGGTGTGTTGTCCTCTTCTGTGCTCCGAGCCTCCTCCTCCTCCTCCTCATCATCGTCATCTCTATACCGCGCGAGCCCGGGAACCTCGATCTCTGCAACATCATTATCGCCAAGCGGCAGGGGAATAGCGGCCGCAACTAAATATTCTTCTGAGGGCGCTTCCTCTCCAACAACGGCACCCGTGTCGTCTTGAACCGCAACGGTACTCCGATCACCTTCTCCTTCCCCTTCTTCTTCTCCTTCGGGCTCAGTATTTGCCTTCGGAAGGGCAGGAACGTCGGGAATTGGCTCGGGCACCGTGGCGGGCACAGCAAACTCGGCTGCACTGCTAGGGGAGCGGAGATGGCCTGGGGAGGAGGAATGAAGCGAATCCCTGGAGTATGATCGGGAAAGACGGTCCATCGACGTGGCCCCGGGCAGACGGATCTTTTTCTTCCACGATCGCCACAACCGGCCGAGCGTGCGGTCCAAGGCGACGCGCTCCATGTCAAGATCCTCCACAACGACCTTGTCGGCGACGTTCGAAGGGCTCCGCGAGCCATCTTTGAGTTCCTTCTCAAGTTTCGAGCGGCTTCGGTGGTAGGAAGCCTGGCCGGCGACAACGAGTGCCTGCTCACCCATGAATTCAATGATGGATGTCAGAAAGATGGCCACGGCTGGTGAGACAGCCTCCGATGAGCGGTCTTCCAATCCGGTGTCGAGATGACCCTGCTCCATGTAGTAATCTTCATCCTCCTCCTCCATATCGCCCAGCGACGAGTAGACCATGCAGCGGAGGCGTGTCCTCTTCCAGGCCAACTCGAGATCCCAATCGGCAGCCGACCCAGCGGCGCTGCGGGCCCGCGCGGGTGTTTGGGCTCCACTGCCATCTTCATCGTCGCCCCCTAGGTATTCGCGCAGTTCCTCGTCGGCCTGGTTGACGGCATCTTTCGCGAGCTTCGGCTTCAGCACCTCGGTAACGGCTGGGCGCAGCGCAGAGAGTGTGGTGGAACGCGCAACATTGAGAAAATTAAAAAGTAGCTGGTCGAGAAAGCTGTTGACGAGCTGGAGGGCAGCGGGCGACACGACGGCAGGCTCGCCGGACGGCTCGATGCCGTGTTGGTCGTACCATGTTTCGGCGTGGCTGTCGTGGTCGTTGGTGACGATCTGCGAGGCGGCCGAGGCGGCAATAAAGGCCGGTTCCGGCGAGACAGCCACTGGGGGTGACATGAGGCTGTGCGCGATGGTCGATGTCGACGGCCGATCGCTGGAGATGCTCTGGGTTCGGGATCGCGACGGCATTCTTTGCAGCGGGGGAGACGCGACGCCTGACGGTGGTCGGGACGCCGCGAATTCTAATGGGGATGGAGAAGCCATTGAGGGCATATGTGCGTGCGCGGGTGGGTAGTTCTCCCTGTGTTCTGCTTGTGTCTCTGCGTACGGCCAGGGGTGGACGGCGCCGAGAACTTTCCCTGCACAGTGCAATCTGTTGAGATCCCGGGATTACGGGACACCACCTGTGGTCCTGCAGCAGGGCGCGTCAACCAATTTCGGGCGGTTGATGAGCGCCAGCTGGGCGAAGTTTGTTTCCCGCGTGCTGCGTGCTGACCGAAGGCAGATGCAATGCAGACAGACGGAGCGTTGTCCAATGCGAGCGACCGAGCTGCAGGTGTAATAACGGAGGAAAGCCAGAACTTATTTAGGACTGGGTATCTTGCGTTGTCGCCGGGACGGAATGTCCGTCACGTCGAAAAAGAATTGAAGGTTTCGATGTTACCCGTACCAGTAATCCGTACTGTACTATCCGATGGTACGGTTCAAGTTAAGGTTTCTTCTACCGATGGTGCCGAGATGGGACCCCACGATGAATCGACAATGTGTAGATTGTAAGACGGACGGAGCTCGGCCACCGCCACACCAAGGGCGACGGGGGTTCTGTATCTCGATCTCAAAGTTGCCAGAGTGTGTCGGGTTGTTCTGGTAAAATACTTTGTTAGCCGATTGCACGCGATTCGCCGGCCGGCGCGATTGCAGTGCGGCGGGACTGAAACAAAGCGACGCTGCAAACTCGAAACCAAACGGAACAGGAAGGCGGGTACCGAAGCTTGCCAGGTGCCCCGAAGGCTGCCAAAAGAAGACACCTGCAGCCGGGTGCAGCGCAGCATTCAGGGACACAACCCCTTTTTGGTTCCCGGTGGGCCAGGCTTGGTCTTTTTTTCGGCAACCTCTGGAAGAAAGGTACGACCAAGGAAGGGGAAAATCGAAGGGGGCAAAAACAACAACGTTTGGGGGGAATTGCGCTGGGAAACTTAGCGACAAAAAGGGAGTCCAGCATTGATGCAAACCGCCTCGATCGCAAAATATCCCTAATCTTGCCGCACAGATGCAGGGAAATGATCAAGAAAATATCAGGCAAAAAAGACCGGCCCCGCGCATGCCTCAATGCAGCGGCACTGCACGCTGCATGCTGGCACAGACAGACAGTGAGTGGATCGAGCGGTCGGTCAGTTCTCACTCCACCATCCACTGAGCCGTCCACGCCAATACTCCGGACCTGACGATGCTCATCGCCGAGGCCCTGCAAGCAAGCACCCGTGGCAGGACAGCAGGACGAGAGCTGGGGAGCCAAGCATCTCTCCTGTCCATCACCAGCAGGGGCCACTGTACGAAGTAGTCCTGCTGAAGGCGCAGCGGGACCCAGAATGTTGGACCGCGTCTTCTCAGACAAGAGTAAGGGAACGAAAAAGTGGAAGACACGCACCTTGTGTGTGTTGCCGATGCTCGCCTCACTACTAGGCCGCTGACATATGTTGTCTTGTGATGCTGTTCATGGGCGAGGGACGAATAAGCCGCCGCTCGGAGTGGTGTCGTTATGCCGTTGTCATGCGGCGGTGTACTGCGTAGTGTGCGCGTATTCCGTTTGTGTATTCGTGATGTTGCACAGACGGGCGACCAGCGGCGTGAACTGGGTCGGGAAAAAGTTTACTTCGGCGCAGCGATGCAAGGCGAGGGCGCGGTAGTGTGCAGTGCAGTGAGTGACGAAGAAAAGGCTGCGGGAGCCACCAGTTCGAGGAATTCGCGGGCTCGCCGTGTTAACGTTAACTAGGTAGTTATGTTTCGGATGGTCGGCGCAACACCCGGCGCAAGATGACAGCTGTGAAGATGGAGTCGAGGGCGGGGCAGGGCAGGGCACGCCTTCACATCGAGTCCTGTCGTTCGTTGTTCACTGTTCAGAACTTCAGGACGAAGAAATCATGGCAATGATGGGGCCTCGGGGGGTGCATATCATGGTCATGGTTCCTTGTGGACTTCCTGTCCACCTCGAGAACTCAATCCGGACGGGCCAGATCTGAAGGCCGCGATGGCAATCTGTACATTGGCACTCCCTCGAACGGTTTAGTGCCGAGAAAGGGGCGCCTCTGACATGAATCCCCGGTCGTTTGAGTGGGCGATCCCATCCCATGCGCACTCCCAAAGGGCCCCTGGGCCCGTCTTGGCTCTGGCGATCCGCCGTCAGGGACCCTGTCTTTGCTTCTCCTCCCTTTTGGCCGCATTTTTTTTCACCCCTTTCTCTCGGTATTTTGCCTTTTTTTCCTGCGCGGGGAAGGGGAAGAATCCACTTACTCTCCAGCCGTAACGACGTTATGTCACATCGTTCCATTCGCTGTAAACCCGTTTCTTGCTTCTGCGCCGTCCGTTGATAGGACACCAATGGCACAAACCCGCCCAGCTGCGTGGGGCGGCGTCGGCGGGCATGGGAATTCATGGGATCGATGTGAGACTCCAGGTCCGCTAGCAGCCACGGGGGAACTACCTTGTCAAGCTTGTCTCCAGGTATCCACACTTGCGAAATTTCCTTGTGGCGTCGCGGCGAAACCCTTGTTACTACGGATACACAACTACACGTAACTCGTGAACGTACTGTGTACTGTGTAGTGTATGGTATCGAAGGTATTTACACTAAGTCTCTCGCCTGCGTGGGCTCGACTCGAGGTCCGTTGGAGGATATTCGCGAAGTTTGACGGGCAGTTGTTGGGCAAACGCAATACATCAACGTACTTCGTACCTATTGAGATGTCCAAAGGAACAGTGGTGCAAGTCGAAGTCAGCCGAGACGCGAGACGGGCAAGTGCGATGTGATTTCACATGCAGCCACCTGAGACCTGTGGTCAAAGCTTTTTCGCAATCGTGGCTGCGGGGGAGGACGGTGGGTGCCCGCCTCTCAGTCAGCGGCCGCCGCGCCGACGCAGCGAAATGCGGGGGGACACGGACCTATCCCCCCAGCGTCGCCAGTGGTCAACAACTGCGAGAGAGGCCCTGTGCACCTCGTTTCCTGTCCTTCTGCGTGCCCATGGTCCTACCCTCAAACAACTTGGCCCGGGTTCAAGCTCCCATCCTCACGTACCCTGGACCTTAAGTTACACTACTAACGTTACGGACTGTCTTGACTAGGTAAACGATGTAATAACTGGGGGTTAGCAGCCGACCATGTTTCCTTCACGACTCACGAGCCTCTCTTGCCTCTCCATCTCCATGAGCCCGTGTCCGCAGGAGTAATGTGATGATCGACAGACCCAGCCGCACTTGAGCGTTCTCAACCTACATTTGTACAGAACGAGAGGAAGAGGAAACGAAATCATTAACTATCGGCAGAAGAGACGAGATGGAAAAGTCCAAAAGACTATTCAATTCATCCCGAGGCGGCGTGTAACTTGAGCTCATCCAGGGCAAAACGGGACTTCGGGAGGTTGGTGTGGCGTGTTCCGTGGAATCTTCCAATTCTGTCTCAACCCGGGGCTGGCGGCGGTGGAGGGGCCGTTTCAGGGCCGCTAACCTTGCGCATCATCTCCGTGCTCGACAACGTGGAAGCAGGCGCTCCGTGCTTTGGGCGCCGCGGCTGGGAGGACCTGAGGGACTGGGGGACGACCCGGTCCGGCTTAGTGCGCCGGATTGCCCCGAAGAGCGCGAGAATGGGGTGGCGGCGAAGCGGGCAAAGCTCGGGCGAGCTCGAACCGGGCGTTCTTTTCGGGGTTTATCCGGAAACAATCACCCGGCTTGATCGACACGACCAACCGTCCTCCGACATACACTACATAGTAGTACACGTCCAGTACACTACCGGTGGATGTCGTCTTAAACATACGAATAGTTATTTGTATATGGGGGTCGGATAAATGACAGAGACATGTCGCATTTACCATGGAAGGCAGGACTGCGATGGACGTTGCAAGAGTTCGGCTGACTTGGTCCGGCAAGTGGGCTTTTTTTCTAGTTAGTTAAAAGACAATCCCGTCCGTTAAATATAGAAACTAACAGTTTTTCTCCCTTTGGGTTTTCGCGATTTTAATGGGCATGGGCTTGAGGTGATGGCATTCTTGGTTTAGAGTCTGTACAAATTATCAACAAAAAACTCCGTTAACTACCTAATTTAATACTTAATAACCCAGGGAAAATGAACGACTGTAGTCTTGACTTATAGCGACTCCAAGTCTAGCCCGTGACGGTCCCCACAACAGCTCCTTATTAAGTAGTCCTAGAGACTAACCAACACCCCCCTTCTGGTCTAACATGTTTAGATGTCTAACATATTTAGATGATCCAGCCCAAGCCGGCCACAATGATAGTAGCGACGCCGGCTAGGCCAACATTGCGAGGCAAACCGGCAGCACCCCCAACCGCAACGTGGTCGATATCCCGATGCTCCTTGGCCTTGGCCTTCACCTCATGTTCCTTGTGAAAGGAAGGGTGGAAGTGGGGGTGGTGGCCGTGGTGCTTATGCCACCCATGCTTCCAACCATGCTTCCACCCGTGGTGTTTCCAACCGTGCTTCCAGCCCTTTCCTCCCTTCCCCTCGCCTTCACCCTTACCTCCTTTTCCATCACCCTCATCTTCGCCTTCGCCTTCGCCTTCACCTTCTCCCTCACCCTCACCTTCACCTTCACCTTCACCACCACCTTCACCTTCACCTTCACCTTCACCTTCACCTTCACCTTCACCTTCACCTTCGCCTTCACCTTCACCTTCACCTTCACCTTCACCTTCACCTTCACCTTCACCTTCAC